ACAAAATTCAGACATTGAAATACAGTAAATGGTTTTGTACCATATTTTGCATTTGTGACTATTAGAAATGAACCCATCATCCCCATATGAAGACATCTTTTTTTTCCAAACCATTCACTGTTCAATAACAGTGCTTAGTTTTTTATACATATCAGATATAACTTATCACAAAGAGCTAGGAAAAATTAAAAAAAAAGGCATAACAAACAAAAGCTTGGGTCTCAGAAGGATGAAATAGTTACAGGTGATTGTGAAAAGTTTGATTTTGGTGGTGACTCAAAATCTGAAACCAGACTAGGACATGTTGATTCAAAGACTATGAGAAAAGAAAACAAATGCAAGACAATGAATGTCATTCTTTTTCTGCATCAGCACACGTGTGTTCTTCTGTGTTCTCATGTGTCACTAAACCCAAAAAGACTTTTTGTCACCAATCACTGAGTCAGGGATTAAAGTAAAAGCATAATGCTACTGGATAGTGAATACCATTTAGGTGAGGCAGAACACAGCAGAGGAGCTGTGGGGGGAAACAGATGGAAGTTGTGAGTGATGACGCAGTGATTATCTCTGGGTCTGCATGTATAAAAGTGACCAGTCTTCCAGTGCTCACTCCAGTGGAGGCCTGATCATTGCGTCGATTATGTGCTGGAAATGAACCTGAGGCACATCTGGATGGAAAACACAGAGCCAGCCAAACTACAGAGATAAGGTGAGCGGTTCAAAAGCTTTTAACAAAGCAGATAGAAAGCAAAGTATATTTCTTGGCAGTTTCTCTGAGCTTTTTATTTTTAGTGCATGGATAGGGACAAATTTATTACAGCATGCAGTGACAGTGTGTTGTAGTTAGGCCATTTCTGGTGTTGAGTATTTACTATACACTTTGATCCAGTCCTACTTCCAGCAAAACTACACTTACCTTAAATGGACAGTTCTACTGAGCAAGTCTTTGAAAAAATATTACAGAGTTGGAGCAATAGACGATATCAAACAAAAATGTAAACAGTGAGGGAAAAAACAGGCAGAATTTCACACCATTTATGACACAACACGTCATGCTTTTGCTCTGAGTAAAGACGGAAAGTAGGCTATGGCTGAGCCACTCTGCGATGGTAACTGTTTCTCATAAGTGATGAAGCATTGCTCACCTCCAAAGGAGGGAGGCAGAGATACCATATTTCATGAAGAGATAGCATCTTTCTGCAGGAATTACAAATTTATGCAATAACAGTAATTTAAGGTCCGTGTGATATTTTCCAACTAAGAAACAGCAAAAAATCAGAACCCCTTACAATGTGGCAAGGAGTCATCCATTACCTTTAGTATGAATGAATGGATGAATGAATTATTCTGATTATTGTGTCATGCAAGCAGTTATGCTCAGCCCACATGGGCTTACAAGACACCGTAAATTCAGCGCAAGCCAGGATCAGAGTCCACACATAAATTCAGGCAGCATTAAAAGGAAAGAAAATAGAGCAAAGCAGCAAAAGCATCACACATAATCAGATAATCACTTTGGAAGACGAAGTTTGCGGATCACACACACACACACACACACAGGCATTTATCATTTAAAACTGAAAAAATAAATCAAAATAAATACTAATTGAACAAACTTTCCAGGCTTTAGCAACAAAGTTGGCAAACTTAAACACATCAAAATTAAACAGCTAATCTAGCTTTTGGTCATCTGAGAACCAGAAAATATCAGGGTCAGAACAAGCCATTTCATGGAACATTATATCTCTTAAGTCAACACAGTTTGTATAATATAAAATAAAATGGGACTCACTTTGAACTTCACCCAATCACACATCTCACATCGCCTGTTTTCTTCCTCAATATCATTGAATCAACTAATCTCAGTGGCCAGAGGAAGAGTACCAGCTCTCAGCTGTGCAACTAAAGATCTTTGGCTTCCAGATAAGTAGGATGTTACATATGGTTCAGGGCCACACATCTGTTTTATATGCATTCGTATTAGGCATTGACAGAATGTTTTCAAACCACTTTTTTTCTTAGTATGTAACACCTTGTTCACCTGCCTCAGCAAATCAAAATTAGGTAACCTCTAACAGAATCTGAACTGTGTGGCAAGGCTTTGAACAAAACCGAAATGGTGATCACATATTTCTACAGCTGTAGCTTCATTCCATTGGCTCTGGGTCAAATTTTCAAAATCAATCCTGTAAGTATGGGACTGAATTAAAAATTTTACTCTTGATATACATGATCAGGCACCTCTGTATTTAAAAAGAGTTGTTGGGCCCTCTGACCACTAGGGGGGAACATCAGGTCTTCTAATCATTTCAGTTTTATTTGACTTAATTGCATAAATAGTACTGTATTGGTTTATGTGAGTTTCTTACGACGGAGTATTAGGGCCACATTGAAGAAAAAAAAAATCTGAGATTTCGAGAATAAAGTCGAAATATTACGAGAAAAAACTCGTAATATTTCGAGAATAAAGTCATAACTGAGAAAAAGTCATAATATTACGAGAATAAAGTCGAAATATTATGAGATTAAAGTCATAATTTAACGAGATTAAAGTCATAATATTACAAGAATAAAGTCGTAGTTTTTAAGGATAATAACCAACAACAAACAGAATATCAGATTGTCTTTCATGCCGTTGTAAGTAGCCTACTTAATTAGGTTCGGGAACAGGCACCGTGCTGGTTCTGTGTCAGTGGAAACTCCGGGCCCAGCTCTGCCACTGACTGGCCAGTCTGACATTCTTCATAAGACATAAAGAACGTTAGTGAAGGCTAGTGTAATATTAATGTGCCTGCTGCGGCTGGATCTGTGGGCGTTTGGTGGCTAAGAAGAGTGTTAAGAGTGGGTCAGCTCGATCTTACAACTGCTTCTTAGTGAAAGATCTTAAGCTAAAAGCGATCCGGGAAACGTGGCCATTATCATGTCAACATACAGGGAAAATGTGTCCAGAGTTTATGACATTTACCGGGAGAGCTAAAGCCATTTGACTAAAGCTGACGTTATTACTGCTGTAGCATGATGTTATTAGGCTAAATACTACATTTCTAACAGTGTCTGAGCTGATTTATTGACACAGCATGCTTGTAGGCTGCTGTAACGTTAGGTTTACAGAGGAAATAACGGGAAATAACGGGATGTGACTTAATCATGTGAAAATATCGTTAGTGGAACAGAAACATGCGTTAGTTAGGGGACAAGAGTCAAGAGTCACAAAGACTCACGTATGTTAAAAGTTACTAACAACCGGTGTATTTACTGTCTGCTATGTGTCCGGGGTCCTTCACCTGTGGAACGAGTAACGTGACCACTAATTGTCCCCAAACGAATGCATGTTTCTGTTAGGCCTATGTGTTTCACTAAGGTTCTTTATGTATTATGAAGAATGTCAGACTGGCCAATCAGTGGCAGAGTTGGGCCCGGAGTTTCCACTGACACAGAACCGGCACGGTGCCCGTTCCCGAACCTAATTAAGTAGGCTACTTACAACGGCATGAAAGACAATCTGATATTATGTTTGTTGTTGGTTATTTCCTTAAAAACTACGACTTTATTCTCGTAATATTATGACTTTAATCTCGTTAAATTATGACTTTAATCTCATAATATTTCGACTTTATTCTTGTAATATTATGACTTTATTCTCAAAATATTACGACTTTAATCTTGTAATATTTCGACTTTATTCTCGAAATTTACGATTTTTTTTTGCTTCAATGTGGCCCTAATACTCCATCGTAGTTTCTTGACTCAGTTAAATGGAAATGTTATTTGTGATTGAAAAAGTGGTAAAAGTGTTGCTTGGTTTGACTGTCACCAATCTGCCCAAGGAGAATCCCAAAAATGCCCAATTTCCATAAAGCAGCCCATTTTTTTTTTTTTTAATTTTTTATTTCATTTCTAATTTTAAATCTAAATTTTCTAATTTTTGCCCTTTCAGGAATTGAATAGACTTAGGATGTGCCTTCAATGCACTGTTTTAATTAATTACAAAAACCTAAAACCACTGTTATATATTGAAAAATTATCTCCACCAACTCATCTTGATAATTCTTGACTAAATTTAAAAGCCTTCACTTATGTGAACAGATGTTAGCTTTTACAAGTCTACAAAGTTTCATTACAGAGCCACAGTATGAGTGAGTAGTAAATCCAGTTGGGAGATCCAGTTGGGAGAAAAATGTTCAGATCGTTACTTTAGTTAAATGAAAAATAGCCCAATTCAGCACACCTAGCCTGACAACAAGGCTTATACATTTTTATCCTTGTTTTATGTACTGTGTTCTCTGTCTCCAGCCCATTCTCACTCCCAGGTTGTCAAAGACTGATGCTTTGTCACGTTCATTGTGAAACTGATGCGGAAGGCACCCTTTGGCAACTCTATGAGACATGCTGGGCTTTCATCTGTGGCAGTATTTGAAGCTCAGAGTAACTGATGTGAAATAAAGAATGAGAAAGTCTGCATAGCGTGGGAGAGAGGGGAGTTAGATGGGTCAAATGCAGACTTAAACGTCCACTGTTTATGTCCTGTGTGAAAACAAAAGTCAGTGCAGTTTTAGCGTAACGTTACATTGTTCATTCGTCACATACTTACATCACTCACGTGATATATTTACCCCACGTTATGTATTAATTTCAACTCAAAACATGACTTTTTTCCTACACCTAACCAAGTGGTTTGTTGCCCAATCTTCTCTTTGACTATTTGACAACATTATGTGTTTCATCCAAGAGGCATTTATGCGTCATGTCACGTCAATGGGTGTTTTTGGTATCTGTATCACATGCCGAGGGCCGTGAGAAAGTGTCAGTTTTTGACGACCTGGGATGAGAACATGTTGCTGAGTTGTATGTTCTTCTGCCCCTTTTCTTCTCGCTGTAAAGTACGTTCTAACTTCAGTTTTGAAAAGTGCTGTAGTACTGTACATAAAGCTTGCTTTCTTATGATGACACTGCTTTGATTACAAATGTTCTTTGACCACTGCTGTCATTCACAGGTTCCAATGGTTGTGAATGCATCAGACTGGTTGGTCCCAACTGTGGGCCCGGAGCTGGACCCCTGCAGTAACTACACTGAAGCCTGGCTGTGGCTGTCCTCCCTGCAGCCGGCCTACCTGGGTTTGATCAGCATTGTGGGGCTGGTGGGGAACGGCCTGGTTCTCTGCGTGTTCTGCCTGCAGAGGAAGCCCTGCACTGTGGCAGATGTCTACCTGGGCAACCTGGCAGTTGCTGATTTGGTCATGATGTCCTGCCTACCCTTCTGGGCTGTTACCATCGCCCGAGACTACCAGTGGGACTTTGGAGAGGTCCTCTGTAAGCTAGTCAATGTGGCCATCTGTATGAACTACATCTGCAGCATTCTGTTCCTCATGCTGGTCAGCATGGATCGCTATCTGGCTCTGGTGAGGCCCATGAGCACCAGCCGTCTGAGGAGAGCCACCTGGGCCAAGCGTATCTGCCTGGGGATCTGGAGCCTGGGCTTCTTCTTCACTCTACCCATCCTGCTCTTCCGCACAGTGATGCACATAGAGGATCCTGGTGTGGACGCCTGCATTCTGGCCTACCCCCACCCAGCGTGGAGCTTGCACCACAATATTACCAGTAATGTGTTGGGCTTCCTGATCCCTGTCCTGGTGATGGCTTACTGCACTCGTCACATTGTGACCGTGCTGAGGGACAGGGGAGCAGGAGGACTCCCTGGGGTGAGGGCGGAGAGGAAGGCCACCTACTTGGTCCTGGCCGTTCTTGCTGTCTTCCTCTTTTGCTGGACACCGCACCAGGTGATGCGGTTTCTTGACACTCTGGATTACTTCCAGGTCACACCTGGATGCCTCTGGGGTCATGTCCTGGACATTGGCATACAGCTGTCTACATATCTGGCATACAGCCACAGTGCTGTTAACCCCTTCCTGTTTGTCATTGTGGGGAAGCATTTCAGGAGAAGGGCCAAAGAGGTGTTTGGAAAAACATTGAACCCCTGGTCCAAAAACATGTCCTACCTGACTGTGAGCTTCACTTCAGTGAATAGACTCAATGAAACACAACGTATAAGTATTGAAAAGTTTAAAAAATCTGGACTAAAACAAACTGTATCATGACCAGTGGCCTGGTCAGGCAGTGGGACGCCTCAGTGATTAACTTTAAAGCTGTACTCATTGAAAACAGCAGAACACACTGTAAACACAACACTGATATATTATCACTTTATAAAGTTGATATGGCATTTTTGTTTGTAAACAGTTGCTTAATTATATGTCCAGCAGACACATTAGCATCCAATCTTCTTTGCATTATTGCGTAATTTTGTTGATGCAGTCCCCACCCATGGAACAACACAGCAGAGCTCTTTGCTTGATGCAGTTGGACCAAGGGCCACTGACCAGGCATTGATTTTTCATTAATCAGGAGTGAAACCAGGTTGCATAAAAAGGTCTGTAGAGTGGAACTGCAAAGTTGTTGATGGTGCTCTGTGAGGGGTTTTGAGGGTGAGGGCTTAATTCGATCTATTTTCAATATTAAAAATACTGATTAGTGCAGCTTTAACTACAACTTCTTGTTTGCCATTGACGTATGCATGATCTGGAATGTTCCAGATGATTCTTGTTGAGTTGTAATTACCGGAGGCCGCATGCACCAGTATTGCCAAGGGACTTATTAGCACAGAAGTTCCACTTGGTTCTGTGTCTATGCCCTCCTTCCCTTTGCCTTTTCTTATTGTCTCTGTCATTATTTTGCTGACATGCTGAGAAACATTATCATCTCTAACAGATTCATTCCCAGTGTAAAATCTTGGAGATTTATGATGTAATAGATGCTAAATGACTGCTGTTAAGTGCTGGAGATGAATCCCAATGTGATTTATTAAGAGTATTATTGTCTCTGAGCTTCTGCTGTCTATGAGCAAGTGCATCATTCAGGTCCTGCACTATGAAGGGAACTTATTTCAACGTGATTAAACTGAAGGACGGTCACATTTCACATTTCTTTAAAAAAAAAAAAGAAAGAAGTTGCTCAAAATAGAAGTAGTTTGATAAAGATCCAATCATCATCTTAGTTGGTAGTCATTTTATAATCAAGGCACGTCTTTTCTCGGATAGGCACACAAGGTGCAATTAAAGTGACTTATCAAATGTTTTGGCAGTTTTAAATGCTAAAGTGAACACACAGTTTCAACAGTGAAAGTAATTATCTGACTATTAAAGGCTGTTTAACTTTTTCTATGAAACATAAAGGGTAAGCCTGGTAATATTCCATTATTTTTATTGTCAACAAATCATGTGCAGACCAATGAATTGATACTGAGAAGTACTGTATGTGTATCCAAGAGAAAAACTCTTGTTTTAATTTAGAGTTGTAATTATTTTAGCATGAACACAGTAGTTATTGCCAGTTGGTATTGGTGAGGTGTATAGATGTGTTATTATAATCTTCTAATTGATGAAGTTTATTAAGGGGTGTAGGGGTTCAACTGTGTTTTAAAAGGGTCTCATTGGTATTGTTGGGATTTTGTTTGAAATTAACAAGACCAAATGTAATTTGTATACCAAACCTGAGCCATCATGTGACACTTAGGCCTATTTTCCTTTCGTAATGTATAACGTATGGAGTAAGTTGTTTTAAATGACATGACACCAGTGAGAGGTGAATAGTTCTGAAATGTATATATTGTATTTGTTAATGTATTTCATAAACCTTTGTCGTACCTACCTTGCATATCACTGGATGTATTGAATGAGCATTTGAGAAATAAAACTGCTGGTGGTTCATAAGTGATGATTGAGAGGGATTACTTTTGTGTGAGTCTCTATATTGTTTTTTTTTCGTTGTTGTTGTTTGTTTTGTTTTTTTTAAGGAAAGTCCTACATAGTATACCTTTAAAGGTCCAGTGTGTGTGATTTAGGTGGATATATTTTTAGAAATGGAATATAATGAGTATGTTTTATTTAGTATATAACGATGTGAAAATAAGAATTGTTGTGTTTTCATTATCAGAATGAGCCATTTATAACTACATAATAGTGATGGCCTCATGAAGCCTCATGAAGCATTTTCTTTATTTTCTGAGCCCCCTAGATGGTGCTTTTTGTTCATCAAAAGGTTGAAAGGATACTGAACTGCCATTCCTTGAGCCTATCCCTGTAAACCAAGAGCGCCATCTAGTGGGCTCAAAAAATAAACAAAAAGGCTTTATTAAGTCACATTTAGCCAGTGATGGCTAAATATTAAGTCACATTTAGCCATCACTACCACATAGGGGGCTGCTCATTATCTACGGAGATAGCCATGTTGCACTGTTTCTACAGGGGTCCAGAATTGACAAACCAAACACTGGCTCTAGACGACGACATTCGCATTTTATTTATTTATTTTTTATTTTTATTTTTACATTTTTGCATCAGCTACGGTAGTTATCTCCCCACTCCAAAGAGCACTGGAGAAACACCTATTTGTAATGTAAAAACTGCTTTATTCAGTGTTTTACAAGTTTAACTTTCTGAACGTCTATATCTTAAGTTATCAGAGAAAAAAGGTGAGTGCAAATTAGCAGGTGCTTGGATTGTCAGCCCATCTGTGATTTGCCAAACAGTGTGGGAGAAATACTGATTTGTAACGTGACACTGCTTTATTCACTGTTTTTACCGTTTTTAATCACCTGGACCATTTGTTTTCGAGAGGAAGACACCTCTGTGAATAATTTGGCTCCCACTAAAACCTCCTGAACAATGAACACTGAAGGAATTCTAACCAGGACAAGTTTCCATTGGTTGCAATCTGCAATCTTCACCGCTAGCCAGAGTCCTTCACAGGTCCATTTTTAAAAACAGGCACACCTCCATACCTCCATTCCGTACCAGAAAACATTCAGTGAAATCACTGCCAGGTTAGGAAACATTTTAGCATGCTCCACCACCATATAACCTCAAAAAGATTCTCCTTGTGTGTCTTGAAATCAATGTGGGCTGCCACCCAGGCTGCAAAGTTTCATGGCTGGAGTCCTCCACGTCAGTGACAAATGTGACTACGGTGTCAAAGTTTGACTTGTGTCACTGACTTTCAAAATAAAATATATTGTGGCTTGATAATAGTGATTTAGATGTCTATATACTGCAAATCTTTTTCATTTCTTTTATTCAGAAAAATAAAAAATAGATTTAAGTTCTCACCCTCTGCCCACCCGCATGTAGTTCATTTTTACCTGTGCTCGTACCTGTGAATTCATATATATACCTTTTTGTTTTTCACTTGTCACACAGCTTTTTGCAGGTTACCTGTAGGGTACAACCCAGCGCTTGATGCTGCCACTAGCTGCCACTGAAATTTGACACACAGTTCCTTTAAGTGAACACACACACAAGACTAAGTCATTAAAAACAGTGTTCTGAAAGCTGGGCTCAATTCAGCTGACCCTCATGATCACATTGGTGAATAACATGGTAACCGATGGGAGAAGGTGACATCTTTAAACTACTAAAAAGAAAAGCTGCTTCACTGACCTGTCCGTGTTTTAATAGCTTGATTTTTCAAAAACAAATGTTGCCTCTCAGTCCTCAGGTATGTGATCCCTTCACCCATCAACAACCACTGGTAGACCTTCAATTTGCTGGAGCGCAAAACAGTAGCACCATCTAGTGGAGACACTGGCACAGTGCTTAGTGTCACCATCAGTATGACAGGTGTGTGTCCAAGCTTGCCTGGCAAAAATACAAAACAAACTACTTTTCAACCATGACTCTGACTGAAGAAAACCAACTGTGCACCTTACACCTTCCCTCTGTTTTTGTGTTGCCATGTTTCTCTATATTCCTCCTACTCACACTTCTCCTGGTAAACACTGTGGTTATTACAAAATGTGTGAATTGCATTTTTTAATTAAAATGTAATGATATGATGTATCATGTAATAACCAACCAAACTGGATAGATGGTAAATGGTAGCGATGGCCTCATGAAGCCTCTTGAAGCAATTTCTTTATTTCCTGAGCCCACTAGATGGTGCTCTTGGTTCAAAGAGAGAGGGTCAAAGAATAGCATTTCAGTGTGCTTTCAACCTTTTGTTGAACAAAAAGTGCCATCTAGTGGGCTCAGAAAATAAAGAAAATGCTTTATGAGGCTTCATGAGGCCATCACTAGTAAATGGACCTGCATTTGTATAGCACCTTTCAAGTCTTCTGATCACTCCAAGCACTTTTGTTGCTTTAATCATGAAAATATCTCCCATTCCAGTTTCAAACCTGCCACCTTTTTGCTGTTAGGTGACAATGCCAAGCACTGCACCGCCATGCCACTGTGCAATGTATGTTGTATAACCTTTTATACATTTGTGTAAAAAGTCTATTGAATCAAATTTTTAAAAGAAATTCAATGGCCGAATAAATTTCCTCTGAAATAAATAAGTTCCCTGAAATATAAAAATGTGTTAATACCAAATAACAGTCTATAACTAAAAAAATTTCTCTGAAATAACAAAGTGTGGGATTATGAAATAAAAGTTCCCCAAAATACATAAATATAGAATTAAGAAATATATAAATGTAAAATTACAAAATAGTAGTCCCCTGAAATATATAAGTATGGGATTATGAAGTAAAAATACCTGGAAATAAATGAATGTAGAATTCCGAGATAAAAAAAATCTCCAGAAAAAAAAGTGGGATTTTAAAATAAAAGTAAAAGTAATAAAAATAAAATAAACAAATGTGGGATTACGAGATGAATGTCTCCTGCATTAAATAAATGTAGACCTGTGAAATAAAAGTCCCTTGAAATACATTAATGTGTATATAAAGAATATAAGTCCAGTTAAATAAACAAATGTGGAATTATGAAATAGCCTAAATGTTCTCTGAAATAAATAAATCTGGAAATATGACATAAAAGTCCACTTAACTGAAAAAAATGTTAAATTTTGAAATAAAGGTAGACCTACCCTAAAATTAATAAATGTGGAATTACGAAATAAAAGTACCCAAAATAAAAAAATGTGGCTATAATGACCACTTTCTATATTATATTTATTTGTATTAAACATGTATTGCCTCATTTTTTTACTTCAGGATTTGTTCATAACCATATTTTTTTATTTTAAAGTTTATTTTTATTTTTATTTTTATTTGATATTGGCCGAACTGACACTCCGTAGCCCTGACAGTGGCTGCAGTGGCCCGTGGTTGAGCTCTGAGCTGCGGAGGCGGAGTTTGTTGAATCACTTCCTCTCAGAGGACGTTCAGCTCCGGACGTGCGGGCTTAATTTATAGGAAGGATACCGTTATAGGACGGAGAATGTTTTTCACACCGACAACATTTCAGATACGGTTTTTTTAATCATTTGTACTATAATGTAATGAATATCAGAGTACTCGTCTTTTCTGATTTTGGCCTCGTCCTTTATTTTGTCCTCTGATCGGACTGACGTTTTTTCCCTGCTGTTTATAACATACAGCCAAGAATAACACAGAATGTGGTACAGGAGTGATTTAGAAGACGGATACGAGTCTACTAAAACAGGTGAGTCGCCTATAAGATAACGGTGAGAAGAGAGCGGTGTGTGCTGAGAAGATGATGCTTGAGATGCGAGCTAGCTGGATGTGGTTGTGGTTTAAAGGCCACCAGCTGCTGCAGTACAGCAGCTAGCACACATGAGCAACTACTGGGATATTACACCACTGTGATACTACAGACTGCATTAACACGAAGGATCAACTAACTGAGCACAGAGAGAAGAAGAAGTGTGTGTTGGTGTGGTTTCTTTGCTCTGAGGAGTCACACAGCAGCTGCAAGTAAACTGAAGAGAGCAGATAAGAAAGCAGCTGAGATTACTGGAGGTGCGGCACTAACTCGGCCTAAACGAGTCAGTGATCATTGAGGACTGGGATGTGCTTGAAATCAATTGATTACAATAAGTATCAATACGTATGTAAATACTGCATATGGACTAGAGTAGTATACCACAGTAGTCTTCATAATGTAAACAGTGGTGTAGTGGTAGATGATGAGGTGTGTGCACTACTGGGTAACGTTAGATGAGTAAGTTACAGAGGAGGAAGTGGGAATACTGTGCTATATCAATGGCTCTTTAGCTGATAAGTGGGTATACTGTAAACTGACAGAAAAAGAGGTGGGTTAACCCTGTACACCTGTATACCCTCCACTACACCGCTGAATACAGTTTCAGTTTAATTTATTTAAGAAGGGACAGTGCACATTAATAAATACAGGAGGTAAAAAAATGTCACAATTAGCCAAGAGGCTGTTTTTCATCTGTAGTCCCTTGACCAACATGTTACACAAGGCTACCTTAAATACAACACAGCATAAAGCAAAAAAACACCAAAACAAAACAAAAAAAAAAACGTGGCATGCACTTTAAAATATTTTTTGAACAGGACATGCAATTTAAAACTGGAAAAGGACATACTAGCAGGGGTCAGCAACCTTTACTATCAAAAGAGAGACAGTTAAAGTAAAAAAAAAAGTCTATATCAGTATATATTTGTGCTTTACAATAAAGATAACACAGCCTATTGGGTCCTAATAAGCTAATCAATATTACTAGGCTAATAGTTGTAAATGAGCATTGATTATTTTGTGCATAAACATTGCGTTGGCGGTGAAAGCAAAGAAATCTGTCCCTCACTATTGAGTTCTCTGTTTTCCTCTGAGAATTTTTCTTTCCTGGATTTGGAATCAATAGCTAGCCCAGCCAGGGAGACTCCACCACTAACTAGCCACCGCTATTCAGATTCACCAAAATTTAGGAGAAGGCGCCAGGTCATAGATGTATGACGCAAACTTAAGTTGATGTAAGGAGTGTTAAAACTTTTTTTTGAAAGTGTATGAGTGTTTTGAAAAATGTATGAATCACTTTAAGCTTACGTCAATGTAAAATGTAAAATTAAAACATAAAAAAATAACTTGTTATTGACTTCCATATAATTTCTTGTAAAAGCCACATAGAGCCACTGAAGAGGGGGTGTGTATATCAAACACAAGTTTTAATATTTTATTAAATCATCTCAACTTAAAATCTGATATTTTTTTTAGAATTGGGCAGTGATGGAAATGCTTTGGTTTTTTGTCTAGTGTTTTGAGTGCTTGTTTGAATGAAACAGTATTTGAGTGTTTTATTGTAGCCTACATCATACAAAGCTCTAATCATACGTAAACAAAAGCTTCAATAGCTATTTTTTTTAAAAAAGTTTTTAATTACTACTGTCTCGAATCATTATTCATAACATGTTACTGTTAGATTTTCAATAGAAGGGGTGAGGGGGTAAAAATCGATAAAGCATTGTATCGCAATATTTTTGTGTGTCAATATTGCATCATCACACAGTGCCAAGTATCATTTTTTAAATTATATTGATTATTAATAGGACAAATACAAATTAAACCTCCACACTAGAATAATATAATCAATTGCTTTTTCAGACCACTAGATACATTTTGCTGCTGAAAAAAAAACTGGCTGAAATGAGATGAACAGACTGCAAACCTTATCTTATTAGATAAAACATATGTTGACAAAGTGTTTTTCTTTTGGGACATAAAATGCAACTGAAAAAGGTAATGGTAAGGTAAATCAATATATTTTATCACAATACTCAGCATATTACAACATATTTAAAATTGCAATAATATTGTTTTATGACTTAAGTATCATGATAATATTGTATCGTGGATCCTGTGGTGATTCCCACCCCAAGTTTATATACCAGGCGAATACTGTTGTGTCACTAACACTCAGCGTAGTTAATACTATGAAATACTGAGTGAAATCTATAAAGGAATGCAAGTTCATTCTGTAGCATCACCAGGAAGTCACATGATGGCATCCACCACTCCAGTCTTTGTGGAGGTGGTTGGGTAGGGTCCACCTGTTAATGCATTCCTGTAGGCCACATTTGATCCTGACAACAGGAGGGATATAATATATAAGGAAAGACTACCTGCAGATACTAAAGAGAGAGACTGAGACAACAGACTTACCTCGAGCTCAAATAGGCCTTGTGGATTCACTTACTGGTTTACACAAAATTAGGGGTGGGAATCTCTAGGCACCTCACGATTCGATTCAATTCTGATTCCGAGGGCAATGATTCTCGATTCTAAAACGAGCCAATAAGAAAATTTACACTAGATATTGAAAAAACATTATTGTAATAAAGCTGGGAATACATATCCAGTGCATACAAACTGTATTACTCACTGTGGTTGAGATGACTACACTCCACCGGTCCATCCTCCTCATCCACAAATCTCAACGGGACTCTCCTGTCCCTCGTCGACCTCCTCGACATTTCTCCTCCAGTATTTACAAAACTATAACTGACTATAACTATCTATGAACTATAAAAACACGAACTATTGTAAGAAAAGACAAACGGTGGCAAAACTACAAACTATGGTGAAAACACGACGAAAACACAACAAAAAACACTCAAAAACACGGCATAAAAAAACTCAAAAGCTCTCAAAAAACACAAATACTATTATTTACAACACTAAATATATTTCACAAAGAAAACGCCACCAAAACTCCGCTAAAACATTCCAACTTGCACTCTCCTCGTCAGCTGTCACACTCCTCCTGCTGTGCTCACTTCCCTCCCCTCCTCCACAGGTAATGACGTCACTACCGTAATGTTCTTGCTGTGCTTCTCAGCTTTCAGAATCCGTTGGAATTACGTCAATAGTGCGAATGGTCGAGGAATTACGGTAATTTGAAAAATCAATTATGAGTTTTCCACATCAGTGCTCGCATCGTTCAAGACAGAATCTCGATGCATCTAAAAATCGATTTTTTCCCCCACACCGACACAAAATTATTTGGCAACTGTTTTGATAATTGATAAGGCTCATCATTTAAGTCTTACTTGAAAATGCAAAAACATCACAGGTTCCATCGCCTGAATATTTGCTATACTTTAAAATGAAACATCATATTTTTGGTTTTGGATTTGTGGTTGGACAAAACAAGACCTTTGAATGTGTCAGCTTCATTTCCATGTCTGGGTCTGTTTCACCTCGAGACGCGCACTCAATCCTTCAAACACACACATACACACACGAGTGTGTACATGCACACAGCATTATGGCAGTCTCCCACTGGCTGATGATAATCATGAGGGCTGACGAAGTGCTGTTAGTGAGCAATGCACCTTTGTTCAGTCAGAACTCCCTCAGATCAAACTTGCTAGATATTTACAGTGCGTCTTAGATCCTGACACTGAGAACAGAGGCTTTTCAGCATTCAGCAGTACATGGAATCCAAAGTGTAACACTTACCTGAGTATCCAATAACTATTGGATGGCTTGCCATGAATGTTGTACACTCAAGTCTCTGTCAGAATTATTTGTCCAATATTTTGTCTTTGACCAATTACCGAAAAAAAAACCTAATAAGAATATCATTTTCAAAACTGTTGTTTTAGGCTCCAGTGGCGGTGGATCTCCAGGATGGGTTCCTGGCCATGAATCAGCCTGGCACAGTAACCCTCCTGGTCCTGGGAACAGTATCTGTGGTGGGCGCAGACACAGCACGGTGTCTGACAGTGGGGACACTGGCATTGGCACATACTGCTCTGACAGCGTGGAAGGTAGGAGGTCCTGTCTGTGTGCTCTGCACTGTTTGTCTCTTGCAGTAGTTTTGTATTAGCTTAAAACAAATGTGAGTGTGGTGTAATGAACTATCAGCAAAACTACAGCGTTATTTTACAGGATCCCTCTTACAGTCAAACATTCAGCATTCCCAAACAACACAACACATCAAGCAAACCTAAGAAACCAAATGGAAAGTTTGCTTGTGCTGAACATGATTGATATAGCAGCATTACCAATACACTAGAGATATGAGGCTTATGCATCACATAACACCAAAAAACAAAGAGGCTGATGGATATGTGGATTTAATGATGCTCATAAGCTGTTTAGCATTCACCCACAGCTGGAACAGTAAACCATGAGTGTATATTTAACAACTGCAGTATCACTGCCAACACACAATAATTCATGACAAACAACTCCCATATTATGTAACTCCAGAAAACTCCCAACAAGGGAGCTGCTGCTCTGTCTCCTCCAGAAGCTCACTTTGTTTTGCTTCTAGTTCTGCTAAAATTTGCACAAATCTTTATTTTCTCGTTATTTGGAATCAGCTGCGTCAAAGTTTTAAGGTGATACATTGTGCCAAATGTATGTTTCTCTTCTGATTGTCCTGCACTGTTCTAACATATAACACAACAGCGTTGACATATAACATACATGTCAGCAGCACTTTCTAAACAGTAACAATGGCATTAACATGGCACGAAGATCATTTACCGTCCTCTGCTTTGAGGGTAAGGAGCTCCTGGACCTCATTGTTTTCCCAATTTGTGGCTATTGTTGTCCACTGTTTTTCTTTGAGTTACCTGCTAACTGCTATCAGCTGCTTTTTTCCTGTTGGTGGTTCGCACACATAATAGATTGTCAAATGTTACACCTGTCAAGTGGTGGGGGAAAAAGTGATAAAGCATAGTATCACGATATTTTGCATGGTGATATTGTATCAATACAATACATCATACAATATACACACCTTTTGGTACTAGATTATAAAATCAATTGCTTTTTTGGTCCACTAGATGGTGCTGATGGTGTTTTTCCTGGTGAGGTCAGCAGATGTCTTAGTCAACAGCATTTAGCAAGAATTTCATCAAAGCAAAGATGGAGGCAGCAGAGAAAGAAATCAGACATGCGCCGTCTGGGTTTAAATATCTGGACTTATTTAGGATTTTTTAACATGAAAGGAAAGAAGGACTTGGATATGACATAGGCGATTTGTAAGCAGTGTCATATGAGAATAAAATACTCAGGCAATACTACAAAAATAACACAGTCCATCATCTGCTTCATTTGCAAAGATCTGCGTCCATACAGCTTTGTTGAAAACTAAGGCTTTTGTTACATGCCAGAAACACTGGAACCCAGGTATGTGACTCTGTCCTGATCATTTTTCACCGACACAGCCATACCCAAGCTCTGCAGAGAAGTGAAGCATAAAGTTGAGGAATGTACTCAAACAGCAGGAAGGGTGGCATTAACTTGTGATGCCTGGTCTTTAAGGTCAGAGGATCCATATGTAACTATTACGACACATTATCTCACAGAGGAGTGGTGACTGTTGTCTCACGTTCTCCAAACTAGAGCAGTACATGAAAGTCACACCGGAGCAAACACTGCAGACCTCCTGCAAAATGCGGCACAGGAATGGGGGATTGTGGATAAGCCTTACCATTCAGTTAGCAGGATACCTGCATGTGAAGTGTTAATCTGGCCTCACAGAGGGCGTCAAATCTGCCAACAGTTCAGTTTGTCAGGTGTATGCAGCATTTCTGACTAGCTTTCAGTCTGCTTTGCATCACATTTTGCTGCAATAAAAATAATCAAACTGAGATGAACAGACTGAAATCTTTAACTTATGAATTAAAATTTATGTTGACAAAATTTCCCTTGGAGGAAATAACTAATAATTGCAATATATCGCAATATATCTTATCACAATACTCATCATATTGCAATATCCTGGGTCCTCTGGCGATTCCCAACCATAGTCCTGTCCATGGTCCCATCCTGCCGGCTTTCCTTTTTACACAGAGGTCGTTTTGGCACTGTTACTACCTCTGCTACTACCTTCAAGGCGAGATCACTCTGTCCACCCATTACATGATTGTACCTTTTATACAGAATGGCGAGGCAACATAATAGTGTGAAGTTCTTGCCTTGAATAGACAGTGTGAAAGGGGATATAGACTGTAGATCACACATTAAAGGTAACATAATTTTTTCCTCTTACCTGTAGTGCTGTTTACCAGTCTAGATTGTTTTGGTGGGAGTTGCCCAGTGTTGGAGACATTATCTGTAGAGATGTATGCCTTCTCTCCAATATAATGGAACTAGATGACACTCAGCTTATGGTGCTCAAAGCGCCAAAAAAATACATTTGAAAAACTCAACAGACTCACAAACAACAACAACTCAACTTTGTAGAAATCATGACCTGCTTACTCAAGATAATCCAGACCTTGCTGCTTGCCAACTGTATCACTGCACAGAAGGAAGAGTGCATCTACTCATTGGCAAAAGGCTTGTGCTGATAGTGTAAGCCAGCAGTATCAAACTAAGATGCACACTTCCTTCTGCAATCTAGACTGATAAATAGCACTAAGGGTAAGAAGAACATGTGTTTTTAATTTAGGGGTTAAGTGTGTGAAGTGCCTTAAAAGCACATATATACCCGAAATTTTAATGCTTAATTCAAGTTAAAGTTTAATAAAAAACATTTTCTCTGTGTGACCAAACCCTGCCTAATGGTCTGTTTGGCCTGTATGTCTTACAGACGACTCCAGTTCCAGTACCACGCCTCTATCCTTCCAGCCGCTGTCCCAGCATCACTTGGGCCAGGATGATAGCGCCGTCCCTTTTGTCCACGTCATGCTGTCCCCGTCCTCCTCACCCTACACCAGTTTTAGAGTTCCAGCCTCACCCAGCAGCTCAGGTCGTTGGAGCAGGTCTTGCCAGCTGCTTACACCAGCCATATCTCCCCTGGGTGCACCAAGCTGTCTGGACATGAAGGACCACCAGCCCATCAGGAGGTGGTCCTCCCTCACCAAGTTGTCATCTGGGGCTGATAAAAGCTCCACTAGGACATCATGTGATCAGTACAATGCAGATTCACATGGCTCCCTGGACAGAAATCTGCTCTATGGGTATAAAAAAGAGCCTGCTCGGGCAAACGTGGACCTTTATCTGCCTTTATCCTCTTCCATGCTCTGCCACAGCCTGCTGCAGCGCTCACCAGGAGCTGGCCCCTGCTACCGGTACAACCACAGCAGTAGATCCAGCGGTTTGGACACAGACATGTCCCTTTCCTCAGCTCTGTCATCTTCAGTCAAGCACAGCAGTTTGGACATGAACTACAGTGCTTTACCAGAAGCTAAACTGTCTCGTGGAGGTACACAGGTTTATGGCCTCAGCTTACCCAAACAAGCAGACTCTCCACTGGGTCATCAGACTGACAGAGGCTCCCCGATTCAGCCCTCAGTCCGCACCCAGATGTGGCTGACTGAGCAGATGGAGTACAGACCCAAAGGAGAGAGTGTAGGAGGTCAGATCAGTACTGCTGGGACAGAGGCCTGCGGCGGAGATGGACCGTTATCATGTCAGCAAGGACATCAGCAGGAACCAGGGCTTAGTCAGGTGAGAGGAGGGGTATAATAATGAAGCTAGAGGGAGAGGGAAGGTATACACAGTGGCATGCAAAAGTTTGGGCACCCCTGGTTCAAATTTCGTTTACTGTGGACAGTTGTAGAAGATGAATTGATTTTCAAAAAGCAACATTACTTTTTAATTTCAATCTTTTACAGTTTCAAAATAACAAAAAAGGAATAGGGCCTGAATAAAAAAACAACAACAAAACTTTAAAAACCAAAACTCAACTCGATAATTGTTTAGATCTCCCATGCCGTGGTTCTGATAATTCATTTAAATCAATCTGAGTTTCAATTTGGTGCTGCACATGCCTCGTGCTACAGGCATCTATTCTCTGGGATTCTTTAAGAATTTGTGTATACACAAACTTTTTGTTGTTTACAAATTCTTGGACTTTGGATTGAATTTTGAAAAAACAACTTTAATGTCTGAACCAACAGGAAATAAAGTATTAAGCTTGATCGCAGGCTAAATTGAAGGGTTCTGATAGGAAAGTAAAAACAAGAGAAAATATAAACTAAAGCTTGCATTTAAGGTCTGAAGAAAAGACCCATGTTTGCAAGAGGCTAAATTAGAACCAAACTTCCCCCCAAAAGACTCTTTTCTCTTCAGCACTCTGTTAACTTCATATTAAAGAAATGTGAGGTAAAAATTATCCTCAGTGTGTCAGTATGTCAGAGTAACCTCTACTCTGTACATCCAGAAAAATTTAAACCTTACTACAGAACATGGTCCATCATTAATACAGAGTAAAAGACATGTGTAGACTCAGCAGACAACATGAAATAAGACAGGTTGATCTACAGGAGAATAAATACTTGAAAACAGTACAGAATGGCTGAGAGTCTTACTGCATTATATTCAATTATATTGTTATTTTGATATGTCACCTGCCACCTGAATTTTGTTTTCCTTTACATAAATAAATGCAACAGAATGCAGGATGTTTTGCGTTTGAGACTCAAAATTTCCTGATGGAGGACCCCCAGACACCCCAACTTAATATGTGTCGCTCACAATATTTAAACAAAATGACACCCTTGTTTGCATCACTGTATGGGCAGTAAAACAGTTACTTAAGTAAGCAAAACTTGTTACTGTATATAACTTTATTTTTGAAATTAAATAGACGGGTACCGTTTTTTTCTTTGCTTGAGCACCTGCCCCCGAAACGTGAGCAACGGATCAAAAACAGATTATGAACATCACTGTTATCAGTTAAGTCGGTATGTACTTGTGCACTGTGTGTGTTACAGCATGTGTGTTGGTGATGTGTGTTTGCAGATGCTGATGGGGAGCTCCCTTCCAGTCAACACTCTGGTGAAAGTTAAAGAGGGGCTGTTGAGACAGAGAGAGCTGGAGATAGAGAGGTACTGCCGGACACACACTTGCCCAGCACGTATTAAGGTGCGCTCACCTATTTTCTGATCCAGACATTCAGAAGGAGCCCGATTATCTACAGGAGTCTCCTCCTCTCCAAAACAACTAGACCAGATGATTTACACTGGTAAAACAAATGAATAAAGTAGTTTCATGTTAAAGAAATCAGTATTTTTCAGATGCTCTTGTTGTGGACTGGCTGCTAATTACACTGGCTACCCTGAAAATGCAAATTTGTCTATCTAGAGCCAGTGTTTGGTTTGTCTGTTCTGGGCTACTGTAGAAACATGGCAGTGAACATGGCAATCTCTGTGAATGAGCACCTGCTCCTTATGTAGACATAAGTGGCTCATTATCAGACAATGAAAACACAGTGATAATTATTTTCTAAGTAATTATTCACTAAGAAAAGATACTTGCATCCATATTCCATTTCTGCCAATTTATCCCCTCCAAATCCTACACACTGGACCTTTAATACAAAGCTGCTGTGTGATGCTCTCGAAAGGCCAGATGACAGTGTTTGTGAGCAGGCTCATGTTGTGTGTTTTAGACAGAAGCAGCAGATCTTGCAGCTCCACGCTCGGATCAGAGAGAATGAGCTCAGAGCTCAGCAGGTCCTGCAGAGCCAGAGAGGATGGTTCGATGAGCCACACATCCCAAGTACTAAGGTACCAATACTTTGTGATGAATGAGTATCCAAATTCTTACTGTGATAATCACATCCCTTCATAAGACAAGTCACAGCACAAGTTGTAGTTTTTCCAACAGGAATCAGCGATGAGAACACCATGCAAACAGCCGTCTGACAGGCTGTGCTGTGATGAAGATCTTGGTAGGAAGCTGGCAGTGGCTGAACTGGAAGTTCTTCATTTGAACGAGTTCTTCAAGCAAGCCACACAAAAATACACAGAGGACATCAGGAAACTGGAGGAGAAGGTACAACAAGGACAGAACAGAGCTGATGAGAACAAATTCATCCATGTGTGTTTGTCAATATGTGTTTATGCTTTTTATATTATGTTGAAAACAGTTGAAGTCCCCCTCCACTCAGATATGTGTTTTTCTTCTTTTTATGTCCCCTGAATGTCTGACCTAGACTCTACTGACTTGTATCTGTGCGAGGTGTTTTCACTCCTCTACTGTGCACAAATCTGAGATTCAGACGTACGCCGAGTGAGCTAGATTAGGTTCATCACTAATACGAAAGCCAATCACTGACTAATACAGGAAACTCATATCAACAAGGTAACAGACGTTGACACAACACAAGCAAAGAGACCTGAAACCCTCCAGCACAGAGCGGACTCGTCGTGATGTTGTTACTTAAAAATCTCTTGAACTTTTTGGACAGAATTTTTATGTAAGTAACTTGTACACCATCTGTGCCCTACTTGTTAACAGACATCTACTTATTTACAAGCAGTGTAAGAGTCACAGTATTGATTGACACACTAGAAGTCAAATGCTACATCTGCCCCAACACTTAGAGCAATCATATGTAATTAATCATATCAGCTATGAGAGGTTAGTGTGAGGAAAATACTGTAAATGAAATTTCTCAAAATGAGACATCAGTTTGTCATTTGTCAGGCGAGAGGATCATCGCAGACCATGTGTATAATGACTCATGGTTTTGTCTCGTTTCTGATTGGTGCAATTTTAGATTTTACAGTCGCCCCTTGTCACAGTTGTCCCCAGTCTCCCCTACAGAGAGCAGAGTTAGCATTAGCAAAGTGAAAGTTTAGACAGCAAACATGGCAGAGTGGCAGTTTTGGGATGGAAACCATCCCCAGATGGTCCATACACTGTTTACCAAAAACCCTCATCATACCAGATTATTGTATGTTTCACAAACCCTAACACTGTGTCAGTCACTTTCTGCAAGCTAACAAGCTAACAAATGAAAGATGCTGACTACACTTACCATGCTGAAACATCTTTTTGTTGCGGATTATGGTGCACAACAGACTTGTCATCTGATTCTGACTGAGACTCAGACATGTACAGCTGAATCGTTCCCGTGTTTACGCTAACGCTAGCCATCTCCATACACTCTCCTCTTTCACCATTCACCCTCGAGCAGTGGTGATTTTTTTTGGTCTGTTTTTATATTTTTCTATTTATACATCATGCTATTTTAATATCTAACATGCTATTTTAAGTGCTGCTTTATTTAATTTATGTGCATGTGTGTTTTGTGCTCTGAATTTATTTGTGTGTGTGTGTGTGTGTGTGTGTGTGTTTTACTATATACTCAGGGAATACCTCCTAATCTCATTATTTTGCACTGCAGCACAATGACAATAAAGTCTATTCTATTATATTCTATTAAACAAAGAAAAGATCATAACAGTTTAAACATGTCTGGAGGGGGACTTTAATTACATTCACCAGGATAATATGAAATCAGTGTATAAGTGACATGATGTGTTTCTGTTGACAGATAAAGACGAGGGATCGTTACATCAGCAGTCTGAAGAAGAAGTGTCAGAGGGAGAGCCAACAGAACCAAGAAAAACAGCAACGCATAGAGACACTGGAGAAATACCTGTCTGACCTGCCGACACTGGATGAGGTGCAGGCCCAGGCCCAGCAGGTATATACACACACACACACACACACACACACACACACACACACACACAAAATTGTTTGTAATGCTCAACTGGTTAATGAATAGCCCATTAACTTGTAGTACAGTGATGTTCATTGACCACACTGTGTGTGTGTGTGTGTGTGTGTGTGTGTGCTCAGCAGGAGGAGGTGCAACAGAAAGCCAAGGATCTGGAAAAAACAGCATCTCGCTTACAACAGAGCCTAGAAGAAGGGTTTGCTCTGATGAAGGAGAAAGACATCAGCATTGAAATGCAGGCCATGAGGGAGAAGGAGCTGATGGCATCTGTACAAAGGTACATTATCAACCAGAAAATTACACAGTTAACACAAGTTCTCCTCAACTTGCTGTTACACTGCTCAGTTCCCCTTTTGTATGCACCATCCATTTGGCCCCATTTTACCATGTTGTTCTGCAGCTTTCATGTTTGGTAATCCTTCCAGAAAGATGCTTAAGATTCTTTAAGCCTGTTCTTGACCAGGTACCATTTCCTCCCAGTAACACGTAAAGAAGAGTTTTCTCTGACAGGCTGGCCGTCATCCATTTTTCCGTAAGGACCAGTCTGCATGAAATTTGATTATTTTCACCAGAGGTTTGGTTTATTACATTATCCTGCATCTGGCAGGCCCCAAGGTGTTGAATCTTCCCCAAAAGACAGACTTTGACACATTTGTGCTGTAGAAGACAAACCACTTGGTTTATGGTGACCAGAAAGAAACACTAACTTCTGATTGTACAAACAGTACTGCAGTGGGAAATTATTTGACCCAATAACAATGATGGGTTCTTGTCAAAATGGTCTCAACTACAACCAGTAAAGGGTTAACTAATGTTGGCAGGATCTGACTGGGGGTAGGTAAATAGCAGAGGTCTAACCTGTCACATCACACCTTTCTTTAAAACAAGTCGGAAAACCCTAAGAGACAGTGCACATGCTGCGTCTTTAACTGCCTGGAAAATGCAAGGTCAGGCACTGGGTGCTACTCCTGTGCCTTTTCTGTACCAACTTTCAAGAGCACAGTGGCAGGTTGCACCTGTGGTTGCTAAGCAACCATAACAAGCACCATATCTTAGCTGAAATCCTGAGGGTAGAGCTGATCTTCTTCCAGACACTGTTTGTGTGTAGGCTTGTTGTCTGTAGGACAGATGTAAAGCTCTGGCAGCCCTGCACTAAATTAATAAACTTCTTCTCCATATTTATCACAGACTAATATTTACTCATGAAGGGAAAGACGTCTGCTGGCTGTGATTGGTTGTTTCTCAGGGCGCAGCTGTCGCACCCTGGAAAATAGGCGCTTGGTGTCGCTCTGGTTTTGACCATGCCTGCTGTGCATCTACACTGAAAGCAATTAATTTGAGGGCTCAAAAAATGCAGCATGTGCATGGCCCCTTATTTCACAGTTTTTGCTCTAGCCACGTCAGAATAAGACATTCCACTGTATTTGCCATACAAACACTGCAGCAACATGTCCACAGATAGAAGTTGCATAGTACTGTGTGTACCGCTGATTTAATGAAACACAAATAAGATGGCATTTGCTAATAAACAGTGTATTACTACAGCTTTCTTTACAGTTGGAAACATGGAGCAGCCATCTTGGATTTGGAGGTCAGGGTTGGTGAGGTTCTCCCAACTTTCCAGATCAGAAAGTCCAGGAGGATTTCAAGTTGAAATTTCTTACTGAGAAGTCAGAAGCTCCAACCTCTCAGTTCAAATGGAACGTACCAAGAGTCCCAAAGGCTGCTTACAAATGAGCACTGATCTGATCGGACTAATTCCTAGCACTCTTGTCTGAGCTGGGGTTCTGTTAGACTGCAGGAACAACACCACGGCTTTCGTGCAGGGATAAACGGGAGCCTTTCCCTCTCTCTCTTTTTATCTTATCTCCGTACAAAGATAACATCTTGAAATAAAAGGGTTTTTTAATCAATTTAAAACATTTTTAACTCACATGATCACATCTATACCTTAATTTGCAAGGCCCAGAGTGGATGTGTGTCAACTGGTGTCTATAACTTCATATGCAGTTGCGCTGCACTAAATTCCTTTGCACTTAGTCTGAAGGAACTCCCCCCTCTACATTCGATAAGAAACTGCTGTGAACATGGTCTTATGTCTTGCTCTGTGTAAGTACATGTCTGTCTCTTGGTGCAGCCTGCAGCAGAAGGTGCAGCACTGCTTGGACGATGGGGTGAGGTTGCCCATGCAGGACCTGAAGCGGCTTGAGATGGAAAACACTCAACTCCTGGAGCAGCAAAACCACAGCAGCAGGGTAGCATCCCAAACACACACATGCACAAAGCATGCACACATAAACAAATGAACTCCACTAACATGTTCTCTGTGTTCCCCACCAGCTGATCGAGCACCAGAAAGAGCGGATAGAGAGGCTGACCTTGCAGCTTACGGTGAGAAATAAAAATCACACACTCAGTTTTTTTTTAACCTTGAGGCCATTGTCTTTAAATAGAATAAAGACGTGTGCCTTAATTTAAAACAAAAATATAAGATGTTGTAGTTTGGCTTTAACTGCCTCCTGACTTATATTTAACAGACAGACATGAGGGTGGGATTGATTTGTAATCTCACTCTTAGGAAGAAATCAAGAGTTCTCCTCAAATCTATAGAGCTTTTTATGTCAGGTTCAGACTGCATGACATTTTTGCCTGTTCTGACAGTCACTATCCAAGACCAATGACCGCTGGTAATCTTTCACAACTTGTGTAATGTCATCAGATTATTCATGTCCTGTTTCTTAATATATAATGACGAAAACTCTATGTGTGGGTGTGTCTGTTCGACGTTTTTCTCCTGACTGACTTGGTCAATCCATGTGAAATTTGGCACAGTGGTAGAGGGTCATGGGAGGATGCGAATGAAGCAATATTACATCAATTGGCCAAAGGGGGCGCTATAGCAACCGATTGAAATTGCAAACTTTGAATGGGCATATCTCATGACCCGTATGTCGTACATGAAACTTTGAACAGAGATGCCTCTCCTCATGAGGAACAAATTTGCCTCAAGAACCCATAACTTCCGGTTATATGGATTTTCCACCATTTTGAATTTTTTGAAAAACACTTAAAATCGATCTCTTCCTAGGAAGTTTGACCAATCTGCATGAAACTAGGTGAACATAATCTAGGGACAAATATCTAAAGTTCCCTCTTGGCAGAAGTTGGAAAACTCACTAAAACTGAGCTTCTATAAGGCAATGAATATTGCGGAGGGCGTGGCTCATCACATAAAGGTGTATAACATCTCAAGGGTGTCACTGATCACCACGCAACTTTAAAGGCATATGACCACACATAATCTGAGGGGACCCCTCCATTATTGACCCCATCAAACACAATGGGGGCGCTAGAGAGCTAATTTCTTATCTAGGCCTAACCGCCATATCGATTTTTGCTAAACTTGGTAGATATGTAGAACAGGACTATAACAACAGAAAAATGCTTAAAAATGGCTAAAATGAGACCGATCGCTGTGGCTCCCCCTGTGGCCGAATGTTTTTTGTTTTTTTTTTCTAATTTTTGGTATGACTAAGTCATGGTATGGTATGCTGTACATAATCACAGAAACTGTCAGTGTGTCATTCTGTCAGTCAGTCATTCTGTCTGTCCCATGTTTTTCTACTCACTGGCGTGGTCAATATATGTGAAACTGCACATAGGCATTGAGGAATGGCATAGGTAGAAGGTGACAAAGCTACCAATGGGTATGGACTAGGTTATCACTATTACTATTATTTCAGTCACTACGGCTGTTAATGTCCCAGCTGAACTGTTATTGTAGGAATGTAAATAGTGCCACCAGATGGCAGGAGCTACATTTGAAGTACCGCATACAAACAATGCATGTCACTGAATCCTCCACAACAAAAAAAGTAGAAGTAGAAAAACCTCTCAGCCTGTAAAGTCCTTATGATGGAGAAAAGCTGTCATTTCTGAGCTCACACACATGATGTATATTCTTCCTCTAAAGAATAAATCAGGCTAACCTGTCACATTTTCTGCTTTGATAGGCCACCAGTACAAGACTGCAAAAAAAGAAAGGTCTCTCTCATCGACAGCAGTCCTCTCTGGAAAAGGAGGACAACCTGACCCCCACATCCAGAGCCTTACCACAGGTAGCAGTGTTGTCTGTGTCTTTCTGTCTGTCATGCCGCACAGCATATTCTGAGCTAAGGATGTATTTGGTCAGTGATCAGTAGTGGTGATTTGGTTAGGTTGTTCAGATGTCCTCTAGAATTTCAGCACAATCCATCGACTATATACAGATGGACGACATGTCTCCACTTCCTCCCACTGTATGAAATTGAAGCCAAAATATCACAGATACAGGCACTGCCATCCTGCGCTGGTGATGTCATGTGGAAGAAGAGTCTGCACAGTAGTGATTGGTGGGTGGAGCTGTGGTATCAAGGTCTGATCCATACACCTGCCAAACTCAGTCTAGGGTCTGTCACAACTGTCATTCATAATGTGGAACTCCCTTTTTATAGCATTAGATAACTTGAATAAACATAAGTGCTACAAGTGTTACCTAAAATGACAGAACCAGATCGGGAAAAATGTATTTGGTGTGTACTATTGAGTTTTGGTTTGGCCCATGTCCCATATGCTAGGGGGGCGGGTGTAAGACCTATACTGCAGCCAGCCACCAGGGGGCGATTGAGATGTTTTGGCTTCACTTTTGAGGAGCTGTCATGCTGTCCACCTTTATATACAGTCTATACTGCAAACCAAACTGATCTAAACTGAACTTTGTGTCTTAATTAATTCACACAAACTCATAATGACATACTGTGTGCCACATATTGCCTGCACTCAAGAGTTCCTATAGGCAGTCAAATCTTTTACTTTGTACACGCTGTGAAGTAGACCCAGCCCATCAGTTCTAAACAAAGTTAGAGAGAAATAGAGATATTTTGAACTGAAAAAGAAAAGTTAGCATCCATATAAGATCAGATCAGTGAAGCGTATTAGCTGGGGGAAAAAAGTTGGATTAGTGCATCCCTGAGGGTCAAGTTTTTTGCTGCATGACATAAATGGCTACCAGAAACTACAATAAATACCCATTTGTTTCCCACTGAGAAGCAGCGACAGGTGGATGAAGGGCTGCCGGTGAGTCCCTTGTCCCATGTGGAGATGCCTGAAGTGGGCCGGCTGCTCAAAGAGATGTCCCTGTGTTTACTGGACCTCCAGGCTCTCTGCAGCATCCTGGCTCAGAGAGCACAGGGCAAAGAGCCCAACCTGTCTCTGCTTCTGGGCATGAAATGTATGTGGGTAACACACACACACACACACACACACACACAGACAGACAAACATAAAACATTAAGTTACAGTATTAAAAGTGTTAGTTGCGAGAGCACCAGTCTCTTAAATGTCCAGTGTGTAAGATTTAGGGGGATATGTTGGCAGAAACTTTAGTCTATAATCACTTGAAAATGAGAACTGTTGTGTATGAACTGTGTGAGCTGCAGTGACATGCCAAAGTCTGTCAGAAATACATGAAACTGTGTTTTTGAGTGTTCTATAATTGCCAGGTCTGTTTGTTCAGGAAAGAAAGAGACCTCTGTGGATAATTCGGTCCATGGTATAAACCTGAGCCCTGAGATGCTGAATAGTGTCAGAGAAACGCTGAATTGTAATGTAAAACTGCTTTATACAGTGTTTGTAGCAATTCTAATCACCTGCTTCATGTGTTTTGGAGAAGAAGAGACCTCTGTGGACAAAAACTTTCTGAACAATGAACACTGAAGGAATTCTGGCCGGCACAAGTTTTTAGCTGGTTGCAATTTGCAATTCACAGCTAGAGGCCACCAAATCCCCCTAAATCTTACGCACTTCACCTTTGACTAAATGTCCACTGAGTTACTTCAGGTAACAATCTGGCACAATCTGATAACTGTTTGCTGTCTGTGTCCAGCACTGAGTGTTTCGGCGGAGGAGAGTGACAGCAGAGAGGTGGTGGAAGAAGAACTGCGGTTTAAGCTGCTGGAGGTGGGCCAGCTCAGGAGAGACATCGATGAGCTGAGGAAAAGCATCTCAGACCGCTACGCTCAGTATATGGGTGACAGCTGTGTCTCACAGTGACACCCAGGAGCCTCCAGCTCTGATGGCTCAGTGTTTGTTTTGACTCTTTTACTTCCATATACTTCAGAGATAACCACATCAAGATTAATAATAATAATATATTTACTATAACAAGAATGATAAGGTCCATAACAATGCAGGCTTTCCACAGACAAGTGATGTGTGTCGTCTTCATGATGTGGTTTGTACATGATAACGCATAGTGTTAACATGTCATGTAAGCCAGTCATGTTGTTCAGCCTACCCTCAATATGGCGTTGTTGGCCTTCACATTTATTTTGTTGTGCGCCAGAGCTCGCCCAAAGTGAACCACAAACCTCAGTTTGGTGTTGGACTCAGGACCAGTTTTCTGTATCACACCAGTTCACAACTTTAATATATCAAACATACCAAACTTTCCTGGGTAAAAGCCTCGGATCCAGAAAGAACTTTAAAATTAGCCTAAGTGTGAAGACATCTTCCAACAGTGAACTGCCAGTAACTACACAACTGAAGGAAAGCCTGTTGAGAGAGATGAGGTGTTAGGTCAGACTGGTTTTCTAAACTCATCTGCTATGAGTCCTCCATCCCATTCGACCACAAAGGTCATATGTTCCTACCTCTGAATATGACCCACAGGACCATGGGTAACTTCGTGGTTAGATTCAGGAAAAAGATCATGGTTTGACTTAAAATAAGTATTACTGTTACTAAAAAAAGACCTGCAGTCTTTTTTATATCTATTTGTATGTCATGTGACACAGTCCTGCACAGGTCCATTTTTTAAAACCCTCACCTGCCCATACCTGTAAAGCTCAGTACCAGAACCGACCCATTACCTGTCATTATGTCAAAGTCAAAGCCGCACCCGCCCATACCCGTTACTAAAAGTCCTGCGACCCAACCCGCACCTGTGATTAAACACACACAGGCTACAGTCACTCCCATTAAGCTGGATGGAGGAAAATTCTCTTTGGCTGCACTCAATGGTGGGATGGTGAAAACATTCTGTGCAATCACTACCAGGTAAGAAAACATTTTAGCATGCTCCTTCCACCACCATAAAACCTCAAAAGGATCCTCCTTGGGAGTCTTGAACTTGTTGTAGGCTGCCACCATATACTGCGGCCATTGGGGCCATATTGCGGCTTGATAATAGTAATTTAGATGTCAAAATATTACACATATACTGCACATCTTTTTCATTAGTTTTATTATGAAAAGTTACACAGCTTTTTGAGGGTTACCCCAACCCGGTGCAGGACTTCTGATGTGACATCTGATGTAACGTCATCACACACCTGTCATATGTGCTACATTAATAATAATAACTGAACGCTGACTTTTAGTTTCACACGGGACACAAACACCCATCTCCTGGATGAAAGTCCAGTGCAGCAGACTTTGAAGCTCTTATTGCTAAGCCACCTGACTTCTTCCTCTGCTCCTGTAGTAATTACTATGGCCACTAGAGGTCGCCTCCTAGCAACAAACACAGTTATGAGCTGCAATTTCTGCTTGTGAAAACAACCTATGTGGTTGTATTTTGAACAACTCAATATTTTTAAGTTGACAATGGATCAAATTATCTGTAATAAAAAAGGTGTTGCTTGTAGTGATGAACAAAGTGAATGAATTCAAACTGTGCAGTTCAGCTCAGCTTTATGGAACGTTTTATTTGTAGCTGTGTATATAAGCAATTGTTATAAGGTGATATGTGAATATTGTATTTACAGCTTGTTATGCTGCCCCCAAGTGGCCCAAAAATTTGTTAATTTCTATGAATACTACAAGCTTGCATTGCTTGTTAATAAGCTTAAATAAGCAGAGAAATTATGGAACGCAGAAGGGCTTTAAACATCTATTTTGACGTTTAATAATTGATAAGTCAAATTTGTTTGTCTTAACAGGTAAAAATATAACGTCTTAACACGTCAAATGCATGTTAAGAGGACAGGAAATGCCTTGTTAACAAGTACATTTCTGACCTTTAAAACAGTCAAGCTTCTATGCCATTGGTTGACATTAACATACCCACCCCTTTATGATGTAGCAACTGCATTCTAGTGATAAGATTTCTCTTTCACTTGTGAGATTGCATCACGTGATCTAGATGTTGTAACAGACCCAGAATAGACTCTGCAGATGTAAAGTTTGGCCATAGCAAAGCCCTTTATAAACAAGCCTGTCAATACAAGCAAGTGCTAGCGAGGGTGCTCATCAACACGACGTGAATACAGTGTCATGGTCGCGCACACACAAACATTCACAAAACAGTCCAGAACATGTCCCATTCGTACCAGAATAACCAACAACCTCCCCTTATCCCAAAACACGGCCAAAGGGGCTCTCAATAACAAGTTTAAATTCTAAATTCAGACTTTTTCCAGCGTGTCCGAACTGCATGCTGGATAACATGTAAACTAGCTGCCTGGCGTCACGCCCAGAGTAAATTAAATCAAAGAAACAAAGAAATTAGGAAGTGGCTCGTTCACTCTAAAGAGCCGGTTCACTCCTTCACTTCAAAAAGCCGGTTCAAAGACTTGACTCACCTTTGGACTCTAGCCTCTGTCGCTGAACTGGAACTGTTGTTTTCCTGTTTTAACAGTACAGAACAATACACGCAGACGGCATGCTAATCCTCTTTTCTGGAGCGATTAGGAAATAAAACATGTGGAACACACCACCAGTTGTACCTCAGACAATATAACATGATCATACCTCTGATCATCTCTGACAGCCATCTCAAGGCATTGGTTGTTTTCCTTTTTAACCAAGTGCGTTAGCAATTAGCTTGCCTTGCTCCGTTAGCACATTGTTAAATTTAACAGAGAGTGAGCTAGCTCACGGTAAACAGCTACTCCAAAAAGATGATTTATGATTTCTTATGACTCATGAACAGACAGTAACACGAGGCAAACAATTTACATAATTCTTAATTTCAGCTCCATGTAAAGTGAACAAACGTGACGTTTACCAGATAACGCTCCGCTTGTCTGCCTTAATGACACAGTTTACACATTTACATCACTGCTGACTTAATAAATCGGCGTTCTGCCGAGTGAAACATGACACTGAATTCAGCAGCAGACCTCAGTAATATCAGTAACATAAAGTCGTAAAACAAATAACTTTCGGCATTCATTTCATTTGATATTGAATAATGATGGCAAATCAGTAACACACTCAGAATAAATTCAACACTATGCCCAATGTACTCTAATTTAATTCTGCCCTTTTTGTTCAACAAAAGGTTGAAAGCACACTGATTTGCAATTCTTTGAGCCTCTCCAAGAGCGCCTTCTAGTGGGCTCAGAAAATAAATAAATTGCTTCATGAGGCTTCATGAGGCCATCACTATATTAAACATCTTAAGACATCAGAAATGTACTTGTTAACAGGGCATTTTCTGTCATCTTAAGGTGCATTTGATGTGTGGAGATGTTTTATTTGTACCTGTTAAGATGAACAAATTTACCTTATTAATACGAATGTTAAAATAGACATTTAGAGCCCTTCCACATTCCATAATGAAATCCCACCTCAGCTATGTGGATCTCATGCATCTCTCCTGTTGGTGGTGCGTATCAGACTTGCAGATGTCGGATAACTGTTAGAAACTTTTATCTTTATAAATTTTAATGTCTTAAAAGCAATATGAAGTGTGCAGATGCTCTGTCAACCACCTGATTAAAGCTAACCATAGGACCCTTGAATAATCAATGGGCAGTTTATATTTAACTAATAACTCATCAGGTGATACAAAGCTGTTCCAAGAGGTGTTATTTTACAGTGATCATGTCATATATCATTTGTCATCTGTCACTTGTTAAATGCTTATTGTTTCCAAAATTGTTGGGGGAATTTTGAGCCAAAGACGCTGAAAGAGCAAACTGAAACAGCACAATGCACTTTGTGATAGATTTTGTCTTCTGTGCAACCACACAGGTAACTAAGCTTAATCTATCACACAAACAAACTGACATTTTTTGTCCATGTGATTTAATAATATTGAAGTAGTATAACCAACCGTGAAAACCAAACCAAAGATCTGTTTGGTTATTTAGATGAGTCCACCTGTGGATGTTTGAACAAGCCACTGGATGGCTTGTTACTCTGTATAAGATATTACTCTTTGTTTGATATTATTTCAGTTTCAATGAATGCCAAAGGTCTGTGTTTTGTTTTTCTTTGTTCAGATGGCAAATAAAATTATTTTTCTAAAGTATTTGCATGATTTCTTACAAACAGCTGTCAGAATACCTGCAGGATATTGTGTGCAAGATAAGAAATGAAGCTCAGCGTAAGTTCAGTCAGGAAGTATTTCAGTTGTCTCCATCCCACTGCTTACTCCAATCTATCTAGACTATAAGTGTTCACTCCTCTATGTTTTTTTATGGTCAAGCTGATCAACTTTATTATTTCTTGTAAAACATAGACGTATTTTAAACTTGATGCCTGCAACATTTTCCAAAAAAGTTGGGACAGGGGCAACAAAAGACTGGGGAAGTTATGGCATGCTCAAAAAACAGCTGTTTGGAACATTCCACAGATAAACTGGTTAACTGACATCAGATTAAAGTATCATTAATAGGTATGGAAGGGGCCTCGAAAGGTTCAGTTGTTCACAAAACTGTGTGGGCAAATAGTTCAGCTGTTAAAGAACAAAGTTTCTCAGTGCACACTTGCAAAAAAATATTGATTTCAGCATCTACACTCCATAATATCATTTAAAGATTCAGAGAATCTGAAAAAATCTCTGCATGTAAGGGACAAGGCTGAAAACCAACACTGCATGGCCCTGACCACTGAACCCTCAGACAGCACTGTGTTAAAAACTGACATGATTTTATACTGCACTGCTCTATTTATTTATTTATTGCAGGGCAATACAAAACACTAACAAACTAACAAAAACAGTGAATACAGGCCAGTGAATTAATTGTTGTCATGGGATAAAGAGGACAAGGTTGTGCTGGCTGTCGTGTGTGTGTGCGTGAGAAGAAAAAAATAATTACAAGAAGAAGAAGAAAAAGAAGAAGAAAAAAGAAAAAAATAATAAAATAAACAAAGATAAATTAAAATAATAATAATAATAAAGGGGAAAGAAGTATATTAAAACTAATCCTGCCTTTACCCTGTTACCACTAATACCAATTATTAAGTAATATATGATAATAATAAAGTCATAGGGAGTGTCCCCCCATCCACCTGCAGCGAGGCAGTACCAGGGCATCACTGAAAAAACTCGGGTCAGCAGGGGGAGCTCATCAGGATCAACCAGGTTATTGTTGCATCTTATGGTTATTAATATGACGTTTGGGCAAAAATGTTATATTGTTATAACTGTAGTTTTATTTAAATTTTTGTTATTACTATTATCATTATTATTATCGCAGGTGAGTTGTGTTTCTTTATTTTGACTGATCTGTCTGACTTTGGGTCGCCCCTAGACCCTAAAAGAGCTGGACCTGTGCAGACTAAATCCCTTGAGAAAAAAACCTGCTCCCAGACTGTTCTGACTTCCTGACTGTGTTCACTCTTCCAGTTATCCAATCAAACCTTGTCACGATCTTTCTTAGCCAATCAGGATGCTAATGTCAAATTTAAAATCTGCTCTCTCCTCTGCTGCTGTCAGCTGTCATTTTGGACAGAGTTGATGTGCCCTCCTCCACCCTGTTCACCTCCAGCCATCAGAGTCCAGGACAAGCTCATTCAAGCCCATTCCTCTTCTCATTTGGGCCATCAGCACAATATTTTAAATGTCAAATGGTATTAGAATATCACGTGTGGATGTGCACATTAAGACATTTTGCAGACGTTGGGATCACTGTGTGGGATCACAGTTAGAGAAAAGAGCAGTTCAATGCAGAAGAAAAACCTGTTTGACAGATTGAATCAAAGGGGCAGAATATGATGTGAATACATGGATTAAAAACAGGCACTGAAAAGGTAAGTGGGTAAGAAAACAATTGCTAATTAATGCTCATGCAGTTATAGATGTCCCTGCTAAATATATAACTTCAAACACAGAGTTATTTTCCTCTGCATTGCCTTGCTCCCCTCATTAAAGGCTCAGTTTGTCTCTTTGTCTCTGTAAAGCTTCTTTCAGGCAGTTTTCTGACCCTCTGCTATTCACTTTACCTCCAGCCTTCTGTGTAATTTAAGATATTCTGTATGTAGGGAAATAGCTTTTCTTTTGTGAGCAGATGAAAACCAGGAAGTTATGACATTTCTCAGGTAAAGTGCAGGACTCTTTCTGTCCATCATACTGACAAAATCTTCAGTATGATTGTGTTGGTCTGGGTGCCTTTGCTTCCCAGTGAACACTAGAATTTCCAAATGTAGCATGAACGTCCTTTGAGTGTCCTTGATTGGGAGTTGACTGTGACCATTGACTGGTTGTAACCATGAGACACAGTTGATGTTGGGCATTCACTGATGGTGTACACTCATCAAAACCACATGAGCTTGGCGAGACATTTGCACTGCATTGTCTCATAATCCCTCCAGGGAGTGCAAATGTCATGCAAAAGGTCCCACCACCTCCCCTACACCAGAACAAGACACTTTGTGCTGACTTTGTGCTGTTTTTTTTGCGTCTCTCTGTAGTTCCTTCACGTCTTCGTTGTCATTTTGTGTCTCTTTGTAGTGATTTTGAGTGTGTGTACACAAAAGCAGGGAGAAAGATCACTTTTCACACCCAATATTCAGTTTATTTTCTTGGTGGTGGGAATTTCTGATGTTAAGACTACACTACTGTAAGCATGGATTACTTTGGGATTACTTTCGTCTCAAAGGTTTAACATTCCTGGACTATCATCATGAGAATGCTTGTGCCTCAAGGTTTTTAAGATTATATGATATCCAGATCAGGTTGGAAACACAGAATGATGCAGGTTAAGGGTAGAATAACTAGTTATTACTACTTATTACTACTACTTATATACTACTTATTAACATACTTTCTAATCACATCAGATTTCATGAGCACATGGGTATGTTTTCATGTATTGTCATGAAATCATAATAAAGAAATGATATCTCTTTGTAGTGAACTCAGTCTCATCCTATCTGATGCTGCCATCTGGCAGTCTCCTAATGGTATTACACACTTTTCACCACTAGAGGGCAGCATAGTTCCATTGAATTTTTCTAAAACGCCAGCCGTTTTCCCTTAAAGGGATAGTGCACCCAAAAATGAAAATGCACCCATTATCTACTCACCCATATGCCGATGGAGGCTCACAACACTTGCGGAGATCCAAGGGGAGAGGGGTAGCAACACAACTCCACCTAATGGAGGCTTACGGCGCCCCAGATTCAAACGTCCAAAAACACATAATTGAAACCACAAAATATCTCCACACTGCTCGTCCGTAGTGATCCAAGTGTCCTGAAGCCCTGACAAACGTCATTTGAACTCTGTGCGAAAGCACGTGAACACACATGAACGCAGTGCCCATGTCTCACCGTCTTGCGGAAGCATGCACACCTGAACATGGTGCCCAGAGAGGCAGTTAGAGTTACAGGCTACAATGAGGCTAAAAACAGAGTTCAAATGACGTTTTTCCAAACAACTTTTTATGACGCAAGGGATGTGAGGACTCTAAAACTTCACCTGAGTCTCCCTCGGCATATGGGTGAGTAGATAATGGCTGAATTTTCATTTTGGGGTGCACTATCCCTTTAATGGCTGTCAACACCTCTCCATATCAATGTGTTACTCTATTATCTGACCCTTTTCTCTTTCGACCTGATCACCTCTGTCACAGACATGTAGTCAAGCAGACTATACACACTACATTACTGTGCGACCTGTTTACATTACAGTTTGTACATTTTAACTGGGGATGACCAAATCATTGCTGATTCTGTTATAAACTGCCCTATTTAGATGCCTTTCAATTATGCTGAGAGTTTTGGCTTGCGTGGGACCAAGTCATTGTTTTGCAAGACACAAGTCTCAAGTCTTTGAACTCAAGTCCCAAGTCTAGGCTGAGAAGTCCCAAATCAAGTCCCAAGTCCTAGACGTTGAGTTTCAAGTTCTGAACAAGTCATAACACACTCTTCAATAAAAATAACGCAATATTAAGTTAAGAAAAAATACAAATGCTTTTTAAAATTGCATTAATTGTTAAAATAAGTTTGCTAAAAAGCATTAGCTTTTCATTTTAGCCTTGACTTATCATTATTTGTCCAACTTCAAATGTCAAGTTAGGAAGTTGTTCCTTCTTTGTCTGTACTTTTCAACCTGCACAATCTTGCATACTATGATACCTTTTTTGTTGACCAATGCATATTTTTTGTATGTGAACAAAATTATCTTTCATATCATTTTTTCAGACTGGTGCTCAGTAACATAATGTTAGTTCTTCATGTTTCTTTTCTGCAACTTGATTGGATGCTATCTGATCGGTTCAAAGTGGATCATCTGGGGAGTTAAATGTCAACTTGTGTTTGTTGATTCTGAAAATGAAGGGAAATGACTTGATTTGAGGCTCACTTTTTAAATAATTTACTATCTTCAGGTTTGAGGGTAGGTATTAAGTATTTTCAAGACATATGGCTTAAATCCAAGAAGTCACTGGTGTGAAAGTCCAACTCGAGTTGCAAGTCTGTTTTGATTTTGTCATGTCGATTCTAAAGTCATTAAACTTGTGATCATGTCTAACTCGAGTTCAAGTCATGTGACTCCAGTCCACACCTCTGGCTTGGAGCCTGTCACACCTGCTTGCAAGTCTAGTTAGAATTCATCTTCATTTTATAAACTCTGAGGTGAGTTTAAAGGCACTTAAGACATTTTCAAAAAGACAGCAACAACAAAAAATACTCCAAATGTATTACAAATAAACCAAATTGGAACAAAACTTTATTTAAAGGCTAAATAAATTGCATGACTTGAATACATTACTTATAATAAAGATGCACATCATATGTGTGAAGAGTTTAGAGACACAAACCAAGCACCAAGGAAACAGAATAACAAAAAGCAAGTAAGGAAAGTGACACGTATTCTGGAAGGGCACAAAGTCATGGCGTAGTAAGAGTTCCACTCACTCATGTTCCTTTGGGCTGGATCACTGGCAGCTAGCAGTGGTGACACATATACAAGAGCTGGGCACAATAATGTATCAACTGAATGTCTTTGCATCAAACAGTACAGTGGTGAGGCCTGCGTCTTAATCCAGTTTAGAGGAGTTTGTGGTTTGTTGTATTTTACTACATCATACTGTCAGGTTTGACAAAATATAATGTGCTACAAGAGAATGTAATGTGACACAATAAAAAAAAACAATAACAAATGTAACAAATTACAGTCTACAGCGATACACAGTTCAGAGAGACCCCGTCATTAAGAATGATTGCATTCAATTACATGATATCAGACACGTGTTATTGTGCCCACCCCTGTATTTTCAACATACAGTGACATGCCAAAATATGTTAGTGATGGAACAAGGTTAGAAAGCTATGGCGGGAAAACGGGTAAAATCTACCCCACCGTCACCACCTTATAAACAGGATACAATACCAGGGAAAGGTTTTTAGGTCATACAGAGTATGACAAATACAGTCTATAATTACATTGTCTTCAAGGACTTGGGAGGGTATTTGCAATGTCAGTTGTGACATTCTTTCTTTTAAGTATTTAAGTTTTAAAAATATCTAAAGATGGAAGAAAACCTGCTCCCTTACCTAACAACCTAACATGGACATATGGCGTAGTTTGTGTGTTTGATTGTTTTGCTAAATGCTGGCTCTGCAAAGCTGTATGAATTGACAAGGACCCCCTGAACAATGAACATGCCATTAATATCTGGGAATTGGAATACTACTGGGGTGTTAAAGGACACCAGTTGTGTGCCCTACAAAGTTAGAGAAAAAGAAGGTAGCAGTTGTGGCTGGAATTTAGAGGTGCCTTTGAAATGGTACTTCTCAAGATTATTATGGCACAGTGCCTTCAAAGACAGAAAACCCAGGATGGGACAGGATGGGATGTCACTGGCACTGTTGTCAAATGGCGAGAGCAGTCACCAGAGGGTGAGCTACTTCACCTGAAAGCCATCCATTACAAAATTATGGAAGAGGATAAGGGCCACATTTGATAAATGTGTTTAAATTCTGAGTCTAACAAGAAAATTCTGAGCAAGTCAGAATTTTGACTTCAAATTCAGAATTTTGATTATAATCTCAGAATTATGACTTTAATTCTCAGAATCCTTAATTTAATCTCAGAATTATGACTTGAATCTCAGAAATATAATTATTTTTACTCAGAATTCTGACTTTAACCTCTTCATTTTCACTTTAATATGAGAATTCGGACTAATTTTTCCATAATTCTGCTTTAATCTGAGAATTCTAATTCTTAATCTCAGAATCACAATGATTTAAATTCTCATAATTCTCACTTTAATTAAAGAATTCTCACATTATTCTGAGAATTCAGACTTTAATCTAAGAAATCTCACTTTAATCAGCGAAATCTGATTTCAATCTTACAATTCTGACTACAATCTGAGAATTTTGATTTTAATCTCAGAATACTGATTTAAATTCTTAGAATTCTAAATTTAATCTCAGATTTGACTCCGTTCTCAGAATCCCTAACTTTGTCAAGATTCTGACTTCAATCTCAGAGTTATACCAATTTTGATGTCAGAATTTTGACTTTACTCTCAAATGGCTTTTTTTGTTGTTTTTTATTTTGTTTTTTTACATATGACCCTAATCTCCTTTCATACAGATTTCTATGTTGAATGAGAGAGAGAGAGAGAAAAAAGAAAAACAATAAGATTGCAATATGTTCATTGTATGAATAACTATAAAGGTTCAGCATTTTAAACTTTAGAGCCAGAAGTAGCTCGTCAAGTACTTTTACACAGTTCAACATGGATATCTTCAAAAGAAAATTTGTCATTCCTCTTAGCTTTCAGTTATTACTACGTTTATTAATGTGGTTGTTAAAACATTCAGACCCTGCATACATTATTTGACAGAATATCTACCTAGCTTGGGTTTTAAATTTGTTTTAAAAAGGTCGAAAAAGTGTTTTGGTAACAACAGGCAAGATTTTATAGCATTTTTCGCTTTGATATTTATTTCACAGGGTAGAGCATAAATGGCCTTGCTCTTGCTAAGTACAATGATCACTTTGTCTGAGAACGCTGGCAACAGATTTATTCTCTATTTGTAAAACAACACTGAAAATTTCTTTTTTTAATTTAATTTCCTTTCTGAGATATTTCCCTGGCTTCTACTAGGGCCCCTGCAGGACAATAGTCTTGTCATAGTACTGTCGGGACCAGATGAATAACTATGCAAACAGAGGCAAAAAACTCTACAGCGTTTCTCCAAAAGCGGCACCTGAAAAACATTTTTTTAACAATAAGTAACCTCTTCCTCTCTGATGTCAGCTTGGTGACATCTACTTCCTTCAGTTTTCTCATATACAGCGACTGTCTATTTCCATCAGTATCTTAATCTCTATAAACAGATATCTGCATATGTGTGCAGAATCTGTAGGCAACGGCACAAGATTTTGGCGTTCTGGTTTCGGTTTGTAGTACATTTGTAGTACAAGTATTATTGACTAACCATGTTTTAAAGGCTGGTAAACAGTCCGTGTGGAGAGGCAGAACGCACTGGCCGAGTTACTATCCCCGAACCCATCGGCTAATGTGTTTTAGCTTTCTTTCTTTTTTGCATTTATATGCAATTATCTGTTTACAGAATTTAGCTGAAATGAGGAAATCTCAACACTCGAACCCCCAAAATATTGGCTGGTGCCCCCAGAAGCTTATAGTTGTCAGACCAATAGCCCATGGGTTCCGAGATTGTTAATCTCTTAATAAAATATCCAGAAAAAGTCAGACATTGTTCAGTATCACTCTCTGCTCTACATATGTTACACTTATGCTTCTTTAAACATGTGTACTTTTACCCCAAATCATTGCCACATGCCCAGACTAGACCCCCGAATTCCATTACCCTAGAACACCGAGAGGAAGAAGGGAAAACAGACGGTTTCTGTTCATTTTCCCTTGTCCCTTGGCACTTCATAGAATTCTTTGATTCAGTTCTTTGAGAGGGATTTAACACCAATCCTCTTGTTATACCTTCAAATACCGTTGGCTTATTTGAGCCTCTAGGAGGAGCAGTCAGTCTCGGGAGGCTTTGAAGGGGTTTCCTCTGAAGGTGTCTCACTGGAAATCCCAGTATCTCCATTCTCCGCTCCATTGCTCAGTGTCATCTTTTCCAGAGCTACGGGGTGGACACAGATTCAGACATATAATAAGTAATATGTTATTCTACATCATTCAGAAAGCATCTTTCTAACCGCAGTAGAGTTAAGTGGTGTCTGGGCTTGTTTTAATAAGCAGCTCATAGTGGAGAGAGGGTGGAGTCAGTATTGTAGAGGAGGGTAACTATGCAGGTACACGGGGTATACCCGCTTCTTTTTCTGGCCTTTTACAGTATCAGCCAAAAATCCATTGGAATATATACGAGAGTATACCCACTTCCTTGTCGGAAAACCTGCCTATCTACCTAGTAGAGCACTCACCTCATCAACTACCACTACACCACTGGGCGTGGTTCCCTCCTACTGTGTCATTAAGTGTTTTCGGACCACAGGGACTTCTTCAAAGTGGTAAGAACCCCTGTTTTTATTGGGTCCTCACTACAAGAATTAGGAATGATCGCAATTCTTAGGACACAGTTTATAGTTCCTTTTTCAGAGTAGCTCCTCACCCAGCACAATAGGAAACTTAGAGATTTAAGTGTACATTGACTGATCTAAAACATGAGCCAATCCAGCAGCCACCATTCTTAAAAACCTGTTTGCAGACTACAAAAAAACACAAACAACAGCTCGTAAGAAAAAAAAGAAAGACAACATGGACAAATGGATGGACAGTGAAGTCCAGGTTTTACTGAGCATATATACATTGGGGAAACACAACAGGATTTTGACTCATCAAAGCTACGGTGAGGTTGCTATACCAACCGCAGGCCAGTTGACGTCACTTCCCTTGAAGGCATGTAGTACTCAGGGCTCCCCACCAGACAGTTCCTCTCAGGGAATCCCCACAACTGTTTGGTCCGAAAACACCAAATGTGGAATTTCTCAATTATGGGATCAATAAAGGTGTATCTTATCTACCTTTAAGCATCTACACAATGTGTTATTATTGCTAAATGTTGCTTAATGTCAGTCCTGGTCAAAATAATCACTAATTTGCAGTCTGGTGCTTTCACGGGTATCCTGTTTGGTTCGGTTAAAACCAAGCCTAGTCTGGACTTTTCCTCCATGCAGACTATAGTATTGTTCAGACGGGATTCGTTTTACATAGGGGTGTGGACTAATGTCTGTTTACCACAGGATGTCTGTAATATAAATGTCCGATTCGCACGGGACAAGAAATCTGTAATTCTACCAGAGATGGGAGTGGTAACTCGGTCTGTGCCCTGGCGTCACCTCCCTGTCGGCATGTGCGTGCTATGTTGCTTCCTGTAAGCACCAGCTGAAGGATAATAATAATTAATAATTAGCCCAATATGAAATATTGCCCATGATCAGGAATGTGTGTACACAATGATTAGCAATATGGATTTATATTAGGCCTACATAACACAACCAGAAGTCTCGTGGCTCTGAAAAGTGCTTTCCTCTTGACCTTTTTGACTGGTCTCCCATGGAGGGCTATGCGATCATTAGAAAAATGTCCACTATCACGACTGCCAACAACACGAATGCTTCTTCCTGCACCTCCATCATTGAAAAAATGTGGAAAACTAGTTGTAACCATGGAAAAATGGTTGTAAACAGGACGTGACGAAATATTTTCATACATTTTTACAGAGGATCGCGTTCGCGCAGGATTAATATTACGCGAGGTATTTTCTCCGGAGCGTTTTACAGAAGGTAAAAGTCACCGTAATTTTTACTGACATTATCCGTAATGATTACAGACATGACACATTCGGATGGGACTAAAATCCCTGGTAATAATTACTTTACCCTATGTCTCCATGTTAAACTAATGCCATCCTAATAGGGTTTATGATGCAGTTCATTTGTGGTGTGAAAGCAAACCACAGTATTCTGATACTAGATATGTGCTATTAGGATGATTTCAAAAGCTATAGTACAAGTAAAGTAGTGTGTTGTGTTTATATGTATACAGTTCATTAACTTCATCATGAGTGACACAGCAATCTCACCTTAATCTCTCCATAACATTGCTGGACAAGATTAAACTTTTTACTTATCTCACTACCTATTTTCATTACAACTCTAATTCCAAAATGTTGAGATGTTGTGTAACACGTAAATAAAAACGGAACGCAATGATTTTGTAAATATGCACTGATTCTGAATGTATGCCTGCAACACATTCCCATAAAGTTGGGATGAGGCAACATATGACTGGGAAAGGTTGTGAAATTAAAAAAAAAAAAAAAACACAACTGTTTGGAACATCTCACGAGTAAGCTGACTAATTGGTAACAGGTAAAGACATCATGATGGGTGTGAAAGGGACATCCTTGAAAGGCTCAGTTGTTCATAAGCAAAGACAGTCACTTTGTGAAAAACCTTCTAGCTAATAACAAATTGTTACCTAAAGCTAAAACAGCGGTTTATGTCAGACAGTTTATCTTAATTTGCCTCGTACCTTAACACTCACCAACAGTATTGTTACCTGCAGGCAGTGACTCTCCTCAGCAGCAGAGGGAGGAGCAGAGAGGACAGGAGGACTGATACTGACTGATGTCTCTGTTCTTTATTCTTTCTGATCTTCACTCAGTATTGTGATGTCAGGAATATGATTTTATTGTACTGACATTTTAGATTTGTTTCCAGTGAGATATTAAGTTTATATTGTGACTTTGTTGTCTTCACACTACTGTTGCTGCTCTAGAAACAACATTTAGCAATAAAATATTCAGTTTTAATCCTGTTTAATCCTTTTTTTTTTTTAAATAGGGCCTTGTAAAATTTACAGGATTCATTCCCTGAGAATCTCTTTAACATTTGAGCAAAAACTGGTATTGTAACTGAAACATCTCCAATCAAATCAATATTGAATCAAATTGAGTCAGAAATCGAATCACATCAGAAAATCAGTGGCTATACACAGCCCTAGTGGGTAAACAGTGAGACAGTTTGAGAACAACCTCTCTCAACACACAGTTGCATGGAATTTATGGATTTCATCATCTACAAACTATAGTATCATCTAAAGGTTCAGAGAATCCAGAGAATTCTCTGCACGTTGGTAGGCAGGGCTAAAAAAACAATATTCAATGCTTGTGTCCTTCAACCCCTCAGGCTACTTTGTATGAAAAAACAACAAGACTATGTAAAGGATATGCCCACATGGACTCAGGAACACTTAAAACATTGTAAGTAAACACAGTTTGTTGCTGTTTCTACAAATGCAAGTTACCATGCAAAGTGAAAGCCATCAACAACATCCAGAAATGCTGTCGACTTCTCTGAGCTGGTCTGACGAGTCCACATTTCACATTAAATATATTGTCCTTGTACTGTATTCAATCGATTAAAGGCAAAAAAAAATATTTGTATATCATTTGGTTCTGTTTTTATCTTAACACACAGTGTCCAAACTTTTTTGGAATTGGGATTGTCTTTAACAAGCAATCGATTTGTAATCTAGTAATACTAATAATAATGCTCATAATCATTTATTTCTTTGTGAGCTCTTTGTGGGACTCACATGCACGTGTGGCTGGACCATCTACACACACAGAGGTAGTGCAACTTCATTCTCTGCCAGGACGCCATTACTCCACTAAAACTTCACATAGCAAACAGCAGTTTGCTGCTATATTAATGCTCTGAATACTGCATACAGCACCTGATCTAAGAACCAAGATGTGAGCATCTTATTAGTGGTCAAAACAAGTCTTGAGATCTTACCCTGCAGCGATGCAGAGTTGTTGCTAGGTGGCGCTGTGCTGCTGTCCTCCAGTTCATCTAGGTAGAGTCGATAGCGATGGCCGCTGTCATCTTCATACTCCACGTTCTCATCATCGCTGTCCACCTCCGGAGCCACGTACACCACCTCAAACTCTATCTGTCCTCGCTGACACAGACACACTGAATGAGCATTTTGAGGGAATTGTTGTGGTGCAGTGTGCGCACGTTTGTTAATGCCTGTGTTACCTGCTGGGACAGAATGGTAACAGCCTCCTTGTGTTTGGCATCTCGCAGATTAATGCTGTTGACGGCGAGGATGGCGTCTCCAACATGCAGACCTCCACATCGGTCTGCAGGCTGACTGGGATGGATCTCTGAAATCAGAATAGGAACACCATGCTCCTTCCCACCCTGAGGAGGAAAAACATTAGAGTTAACTCAACTCATTTGGCCAAGAAGTCTCTTTAGGCCATTTTATGGTGCTGTCGGGCATGTTTTATTAAAGGGAAACTTTGGTGTATTTTATATCCATGGACCATTTTCCCCATGTTTTGTGTCTAAGTGACATTTGGACAACTATTTTGGAAATTGGTTCAGTATTGAGAGACAAAACAGGCTACAATGGGACTACTGTGGGCAAATGACACCATCGATGTACAGTACAGGCCAAAAGTTTGGACACACCTTCTCATTCAATGCGTTTTCTTTATTTTCATGACTATTTACATTGTAGATTCTCACTGAAGGCATCAAAACTATGAATGAACACATGTGGAGTTATGTACTTAACAAAAAAAGGTGAAATAACTGAAAACATGTTTTATATTCTAGTTTCTTCAAAATAGCCACCCTTTGCTCTGATTACTGCTTTGCACACTCTTGGCATTCTCTCCATGAGCTTCAAGAGGTAGTCACCTGAAATGGTTTCCACTTCACAGGTGTGCCTTATCAGGGTTAATTAGTGGAATTTCTTGCTTTATCAATGGGGTTGGGACCATCAGTTGTGTTGTGCAGAAGTCAGGTTAATACACAGCTGACAGCCCTATTGGACAACTGTTAAAATTCATATTATGGCAAGAATCAATCAGCTAACTAAAGAAAAACGAGTGGCCATCATTACTTTAAGAAATGAAGGTCAGTCAGTCCGGAAAATTGCAAAAACTTTAAATGTGTCCCCAAGTGGAGTCGCAAAAACCATCAAGCGCTACAACGAAACTGGCACACATGAGGACCGACCCAGGAAAGGAAGACCAAGAGTCACCTCTGCTTCTGAGGATAAGTTCATCAGAGTCACCAGCCTCAGAAATCGCAAGTTAACAGCAGCTCAGATCAGAGACCAGATGAATGCCACACAGAGTTCTAGCAGCAGAGCCATCTCTAGAACAACTGTTAAGAGGAGACTGCGCCAATCAGGCCTTCATGGTCAAATAGCTGCTAGGAAACCACTGCTAAGGAGAGGCAACAAGCAGAAGAGGTTTGTTTGGGCCAAGAAACACAAGGAATGGACATTAGACCAGTGGAAATCTGTGCTTTGGTCTGATGAGTCCAAATTTGAGATCTTTGGTTCCAACCGCCGTGTCTTTGTGAGACGCAGAAAAGGTGAACGGATGGATTCCACATGCCTGGTTCCCACTGTGAAGCATGGAGGAGGAGGTGTGATGGTGTGGGGGTGTTTTGCTGGTGACACTGTTGGGGATTTATTCAAAATTGAAGGCACACTGAACCAGCATGGCTACCACAGCATCCTGCAGCGACATGCCATCCCATCCGGTTTGCGTTTAGTTGGACGATCATTTATTTTTCAACAGGACAATGACCCCAAACACACCTCCAGGCTGTGTAAGGGCTATTTGACCAAGAAGGAGAGTGATGGAGTGCTGCGGCAGATGACCTGGCCTCCACAGTCACCGGACCTGAACCCAATCGAGATGGTTTGGGGTGAGCTGGACCGCAGAGTGAAGGCAAAGGGGCCAACAAGTGCTAAACACCTCTGGGAACTCCTTCAAGACTGTTGGAAAACCATTTCAGGTGACTACCTCTTGAAGCTCATGGAGAGAATGCCAAGAGTGTGCAAAGCAGTAATCAGAGCAAAGGGTGGCTATTTTGAAGAAACTAGAATATAAAACATGTTTTCAGTTATTTCACCTTTTTTTGTTAAGTACATAACTCCACATGTGTTCATTCATAGTTTTGATGCCTTCAGTGAGAATCTACAATGTAAATAGTCATGAAAATAAAGAAAACGCATTGAATGAGAAGGTGTGTCCAAACTTTTGGCCTGTACTGTATGTCCACTAAAAGTGTTTGTTTTTGCCACTGACAGGCACAGATTGTTATTCTATGTGACAACATTATGGAAATGATCCCTACAGAGATACACATTTTTGTTAAAGAGTAAGATCCTTTTTGTTTAACCAGAAACAGCCCAGGAATCACTATCACCAAGCCCACCAGACTCCAAAATAGACAGTGATTTTTGCATCATACAACAAACTTCAAAGTCCACAAACAAAATAAAACTCACAAAGACTGTCTCAGTATGTCACAATCAGCTCTGGTTTGGTAGAAATAAACCTTTAATTCACCCAGTTAGATTATGAAGATACGCTGGCTTTATACACACAAATTTCTGTTTATTTAAATGGTGTCTGGTAGTTTTGTTGCCTCTCTCAGTACTGGACCAATTTCAAAACTTTTTTACCTAGGAAAAAAAACATGGAAAAACAGGGTCCAAGGGTTGAAATATACCACTTAACCTTAATTTTTTTATCTCTAACAGTCCTTTAAGACAGTGAGCAGTTGCTGCTGTTTCTACCGTCTGTATTTTAAAGATGCAGCAGCAGGGCACAACCCCCTGCTACAACGACTACTTTAATCCTTCTAACCACCAGTACCATCAGAGGCTGCTGCTGTCCACCTACTGTTATCTCATCATGCAGCTAAAGAGAGCAGGCTGTGGCTTAAAATAGAGGAAATGGTTGGCAATATGACATAGTCAAGTCTTGCTCATTTATAACCTAATGTTATTTAGACCAGATGTTGAAGGTGATGTTGTTTCACGATAATTTCTTTTGGCCACTGTTGGTGCAGATCAATACAATTAGCTCCTATATTGTTTCCCTCTGTGTGGTTTCTGTGGTTGCCATGGCAACATGGTAAGACACAATGGCATGCTGAAAAAACTGAACCATAACCAACACAATTTAAGCATTTTTTACAGCATTTCTCTGTGCTGTGACATCCTTGACACTCACCAAAATTAGCGTGAATACAGATTTATTAAACGCGAGACCAGCTAAAAACAGGCCTTTGATTGCTTGGATGCCCCACTGCCAGTAGATCAGAGCTGTGTACACAGCTCAGCAGACGAGTTGTCCTTTCTATGTTTTATTTTCCTGGTGTGTCACATCTGACATCACGGACAGGCCAGAAAACAGGTTAGTGAATTGTAGAAAGCAGCAGTAACAGAGCCAATACTACATTTTGAAAGATGTTCAAGTGTTGCTTGGAAGGAGATGGATGGTATTTTATGACGGCCTGTCACTACATCGCGGCAGCAAAGGGGCAAACATTGGCGTGTCCACCAGGGTTTTTTGTCCAGTGAGCAAGCTCCTTTAGAGTCAGTTCTCTTTATTTCCAGGTCATTCGTTAGCTGCTTAGAGGGTGTTTTAGTCCCAGATTTTTAAAGCAACACAGTGGAGTTTTTGGGCCCTCAAAATCCAAGATCCTTGTAATGATACATCAACTCACAATAGGTTGGATGACACCTCTGTTATTGCTTGAGAGCGTCTGTTTCGCTTGCACTGGCACTATGTCGTTTCAGGGTTCAGGTAGGAACCCGGACACAAAACAGGACTACAAAATTTGGCTGCTTTACAGCATACATCATATCCCCCTCCTCTCTTTGGAGTAGCGAACGGAGTTACACGTGGTTGTCATGGCAAAGAAAAGGAAGAAGGTGAAGGTGTTGACTGAAGAGACAAAAAAAAGAAAACAGGAGAGTGATAAAACAAGAGCTCGAACAAGGATTAATATTGGCCTGGCTTTCACACGCTGGCGAGAGCTGAAAGAGGAGGAGGGGTGCCTGACTGATGGTGACCTGGCGCTGTTACTGCTGTTACCCTCTACTGAGGAGACTCACTGTCTGCAGGTCGGCTGCCTCAGGTACATCTTCAGATAAAGTGTTAGCCTACGTACAGACAGCTTTCATTTTAGTTTGTCTTTAACACTTTGCTGTTAGCACCGCGAGTGCGATGTGCTTGTGTTGACCGCGATCGTAAATCATAATAGCGGTGAATGAGAGACTGCGGACAGAGCAGATTGAAATATGGCTTTCTACATGCTGATCACATGTATTGATAAAGTATTGGCTTGGCTGGCAGAGGTTTTATCGCACTTACAGTAACAAGCGTAGTTGTCGTCAACTAGAGTGAGCGCTAAGGGCTTTCGCACAGGCGACCTACACCATGTCAGCCTTATGGAATTTTTGTCTATTCAAGAAATTACATTTCATTTATCATTTTCATTTATCTATGGTTTTATTCATGCATGCCTTTTTTTACTTAATTATTTTAATACTGTACCTGAAGTTATATTTGAGCAAAAAGGAAAATGTTTCTTAACCTGTGTCACTGTTTTTATTTGTTTGCTTGAGATGATTACTGACAAGTTGGTTGTATCTTGGTTAAAATGTTCCAAAGGGAAAGATAGAAAATATTGCAATATCTTGTGTGCTGTGAAGTGGTTTGAAAAAAATGAAATCGGAATCAGCCAAAATTGGAATAGGCCATCCAAACAGTCGCAAATCGGAAATGGGGATCGGCCCAAAAAATTGTAATCGGTGCCAGTCTACTAAATAACCTTCCTCAAGTCTATAAGGACAACTTAAATACACATTGATATGTAATTGCTCTCCCCCTCCTCTTCTACTGTGTGCAGGCAGTCACTGTGTTGATGTGTGATGTGTAAAGCAGGCAGAAGGACACCGCTGGCTGCAGGAGCGAGAGTTCAGTCATAGTGAGGTATCAGCAAAACAGAGTACCAGCATAGTAATTGGAAACTTAATGTAACACGTATGGGAAAGCTGAGTAGTCCCTGATCGTCCCTGCTGTGATTGGTGACTAGCAAGCTTAAATCCCAATTGCATATTTGTACTGAATATCGGCTGATAAGAATGGACAGCCGTTCATTGTGGGTATCCTTAGCTTAGAATTGTGAGGAGGACACCAATCCAGAGCCTTATCTTACAGTGAGAGTTTATTCTCTGCTGCCTGAACATCTTTTGAAGTAACCAGGCTTGCATTCAAAGATATGGAATTATTGGCTGCTTAAACAGATCTTGGATGGTATTTCAAGGGGCTGACTTAACCACATTCAGGAAGAAAAAGAACAGCTGAGACTTCTTACTGTAATGGAGATTCCAAGCCCCTCATGATCATCTTTGACCAGCACCACCTTTCTGATAGGGCCCACTCCCTGGGTCTTCTTCAACATGTCTGGGTCCTGTAATGACATCAACACATTCAGCTCTGGAAGCACAAATAAATAAAGGTATCAACAGTTCCAACTGTTCTGTGGTTTCACACTCACGTGTCCGACAGGAGAGGGGAGAGGTTTCTTAGGATCGTTGCGACCCCTGCACGCGCGGATGACGGTCTTATGGCGGTGAAGGTGAATCTCTGCCTCCAACTGGTTCCACAACTTGTCATGTGCCGGCCCTTTCATGTCACGACCCAGTAACTGGATCTGCTGCACCCTGGAGGACATATCCAAAGATCCTGCTTTCAATTCTAACACCAGGAAGTCCATCCATGTTTTGCTCATCTTTCACGTGAAAGGAGTTGTCCCTACCTGCCAGCTAGTTCCTTGTCCAAGTATTTGGCAGCCAGTCTGGCACCGTACACTTCAGCCTGCAGCACTGCCATGTGTCTGCGCAGAGCCTCGTTTTCTTTCTTAAATAGTCTCACCTCAGCCTCCAGCCTGGCCTCTGCTAATTTCTCCTTCTTGCTGACCTCCAGCTCCTGTTCCTACAACAAGACATCACATGTGAGCACACACAACACAACAAGCACTGGAAGCAAGATGAGTGGATGAGTGAAAATCCTGTTAAACTGTGGTGGCTGAATACAGCACAATTTAGCAGAGGTGGTTTTCACACCCCTTTTAATTCATTTCATTGACAAATGAAAGTACATGGAGAGTTGAATCTTAAAAGTATCTATGTTGAGAAATTTTAATTCATGTATAATAAATTCCAGCCATGCAAATAATAATCAAATAAGATTACTAACTCATATTCAGATTAGGATTAAATGTCTTCCTGAGACTGAAACAGATTACATTGGAGGAAATAAATCCCTGAGAGAAAACAGCTGAAGCTGAAAACTTGAACCAGTTATATCACTGTAAAAATTGCATTTGAAGGTCAGTATTTGGCTCAACAGTCGACAAAGGAAAAAGATTTGGGGAAAATTTACAGTAAAAACCAGAATCTCAATTGACCAATCCTAAATCCCACCCCTTAGTTACTGTTGGTAAATCAGACAATCTTGACAATAAAAAAAAAAAAAAAAAAAGTTTTTCGTGAAATTCAAAAGTCTAAAAGACTAAAAAGATGACATCATGGCCACAAGTAGTAGAAAATGGATAAAATTTTAGGGGATGGAAAAATGACAATATGATTTCTGAAATTAAATTTTATTAATAAAGAAACAAATAGTGATATAACTGGTTGATTGACATAGCCTAATGATTAAAGCCAAAAAAAAAAAAAAAAGGTTAGGAATAATACTCATGAATTATAATTACAGAGTAATACTGTTATGTACCAACTTGATTTTATTTTATAGATACTGTATAAGCGTTGTTGGAGAAAGTCTGAGGACTAAGGGGCCATACACATACTGCCTCTTTAACTGGACCATTTCCTAATTGAGACCATTTCTTAATCTCAATTAACATTGAGATCATTAAGAAAAAATACTGCAGTAAAATGAATAAAACACAGGATCATGATACCCTTTGACATCTCCTGTCATACTGGAGTATTAGTTTCTTAAGACTTTTTAATACAGAGCAAACAAGACCACAGCAAATAGGCAGAAACAGCAAGACTGAAAGGCAGTTTACCATGAGTAAGGACAATAAGAAAAATATGCTAGTTAAAATGCTTTAGGATAATTGCACTCTACTGATCATTCTCAATTTTTCAGTTCATGAATTAGCTTGAAAATGACTGAATACCACCATCTACAGGTATTACGCGACATTTAAGGTGGACCGAGAAATTCCAATCGGAAGCTGTGAATCAGATCACTGTAGATCTACCAGAGCCTTTGAGAGCAATGGCGATGTTACAGAGTCAAAGTTATGTTTTATGTCATGGCAACAAGCGCATAATCCATGTGACTCCAAGGCAGCCATAATAAACAACAGCCTACTATCAGTATCAGATAGTAAATTAAGTACGTGCTGGGCTGAATAAATTCCGGGGCACAGAAATGAGAGAGATTTAATATCAAAATAAAAAAAAGGGATCAAGACCATTTTTTAAATGTTCTATTTTTGACATGCGCACTAAATGAAATATTTGAAAAAGAAATCGAAATCTGTTTCTTGTTGGACATTGAAAAACAAATAATGAAAGAACAAATCGTTTTCCATTTTATTGTTTTTTCGTTCTTAATTGAAATTCAAATGAACGAATGGTACCGACAATGCATGGGATTGCTGGCAAAGTGCCATCACCTCAGGTACCTTATCTCAACTGCTTAGCAACTCCTCCAGTCTACAATGAATGCATTGGCCCCAGTATAAACTGTATTCTTTCACTGAAATTACATTTGAAAAAGTGCAGGTTGTATTATATTCAGGAACTAGTTTAAACATTTGGATTGAAGCCACATCACTTCACAGCTTCAGTGCAGTCAAAAGTGACAGCTGAGATGGAGAGATGCAGAAATTTCTTGAAAAAAAAAAGAGGGTCAAGAGAATGGCAAGTTAATTAAGGTTTGAGAGGAATTTCAAAATCATCAATGAGGCGGAAATGTCAAGCAACCATCAAGCAGCCAAGAAATACAGTGTGACAGGTTGTCATGTTAGATAATGGTGAGCTTTCAATGACAGTCTTAGAAATGCTAACAATCAGAATAAAGCTGGAAGCTTTGGAAACTGCCAAGTAGCTGACAAGTCTACAACCAAGTTCAAAGCTGTATCTTTGGCTGGGTTAAAAGAATGATGCACCAAAATGCACTGTCCCCTCAGCACAGAACAAATCTGGTGCAGTGTCAAAGGTAAGAAAAAGATTTATACCCACTTGACCAAACTGGAAATGCTAATCAGAACTGTGTTTTTTAGACTTGGCAGCATCTGTGACTACCCACAAAAAAGTGACACATTTATCATTGTTAAGTAAAGTGACAATGAGAAAAGTCTATCCTCCATCATGTTAGCATGCCAAATTGACAAAGCCAAGCTCCCTCAATATATGTTTATTCTGAAATGTGAGACATGTAGCCCCACTTTTTAAAGTACTTCAGTCTTTCTATTTCATAGACAGCCCAGTTGTTAAAAGACCATCTTTCCAGCAGTAACATACTTATTTGAGTCCTGACCTGCTGTGGAGAAGATCCCTGGCCTCCAAGAAACACAAATGAGGTGCTTGTCACCAAAATTAAGGTGCAGGTCGCTAATTTATCCAATTTTACCAATGTCTGCAAATGAGCAAGTTATTTGCTAGCTTGAACCGCCAGAACTTTCATAGTATGGACAGTGCTAACCACTGAGCCACTGAGCCACTGAGCCGGCCAGCTAAGATGTTTCTGTGTAGAGTTTGAATGTTCTCTCTGTGCCTGCATGGGTTTTCTCCAGGTGCTCTGAGTTCCCCCCACAGTCCAGAGACATGCAGGTTAGATTAATTAGTGACTCTAAAACTGCCTGTACAGGTGAACGTGAGCTGGAATTTTGTACCATTTTTTGTTGTTGTTTAATTTTCACTTAACAGTAACGGAAATTCTCTATGATCGGTCCTTCCTATATTTTACATGGACAGCTGAAAGCTGACTGTGTCAGTAGGAAGGAAGACAGTTGTGACTCATGTCCCAGGCCTTTCTACTCCTGCCTTTAAATATCACTGAATCACTACTTGCGTCAAGTGTAGCTACACAATCTATCCAAAAAATGTACATGCACAAACTTACCATATCGTCCAATGTTGCCGCAGGCTTTAGGAGAAAAGAGGCAGAGGAGGAACAGAAAGATGTTACAGATTAGAGAAAATTTGATTTCAGGCGACAGATTGTGAGTAAGTTAACCATTAAAGTTCAAGAGGCAGATATATTTTAAAGCACATCAGTTGAAAAAAGCAACTGAAAGCAGTGGAAGCAAAGGGAAAGGAGTAGGAAGCAAAGGAAAATGCACTGTCCCATACATGCACACCTTTGGCACTGCAAGTGAAAGTTTTAGGCTTCAAGTCTCAGACACTCTCAGTTACCTCAGACTTACACATGTAACTATACTGATTACACTTTGGGTCCAAAAAATCTTGTAGTGCACAGTTGTACTGCCACTAACTACGTCACACTGCTAATGCTCTGCTTTTGTTTGCCAGCATGTGTGGACAGTGTGAGGCGTTTCTAAATGTTGTCAGCTGTCTGGAGGATTAAATGTTAGAATGAATGTTGAGGGCCATTTGATATCTTATAATGATAATCTCTTAAGAGAAGGAACTATATTAGTATATGTCTGATAATCATGAGCAAAGATAGATTTACATTATTTTAATAATCTTCAATGAATAAACATCCTGTTATCCCTCACCCACCTGGTTTGAACCCGGGGTGGGGGATTCAAACCCTGGGCTGGAGGAGCCCTTCTGTGTGGAGCGTGCATGTTTTCCCTGTGTCAGTGTGGGTTTTCTCTGGGTACTCCGGCTTCCTCCCACAGTCTAAAGGCATGCAGGTTTCTTTGACTCTAAATTGGTTGTAGGTGTGAATGTAAGACTAAATGGTTGTTTGTCACTATGTGCTAGCCCTGTGATAGTCTGACGACGTGCTCCTGACCTAAATTAAGATTTCTTTGTATATTTGTTTTATTAATTGACATTATTTTAATTCTGATTGTTTTTCATCTACCTTGGATTTGTGAAATGTTCTGCTGTTCGGCAAGTGTTTGCCATGTCCTCACAATAAAGAATTGTTTGTGACCTTTACTGTTGTAAAATTATCAACATTTGTTGCTGTATCGTCCAGCTCTAATGGACACTAGCAATTAAAAGAACTGTGTTGGGAAACAATACTGAAGAGACTGCTGCTGTGTTGCAACTTAAAGCTTTGAGTTCACAAGGCTCTGTTAAAAACAATGACTCTAAGTTAGTTGTAGACACTATTTGAGAGATTGTATTTGGATTTGTTAAAAGAATGTGTATTGCAATGTGCTGGGAAACATCAACTGCACTTGTTTATCACAACAACATCAATACAACAAGACTTGCTGTGTGTGATAAACCAAAACTCATACAGAGACAAGATGTGCAGACATGTCAGTAGCTGCTCGTTATAGTCATCGTTTATTTGTTATGTTTTTCCATGACCTCAGCAGCGTACTGTAGGGGGATTATTTACCAGATCAATAAATCCAGATGTCTCTAATGTTGAGCTTTTTTAAGACAACCATGTAAAATAAGACAGAAAGAGAAACATCTGTGCTGTTCATAAAATACACCAGTGCAATGCATGGGGAATGGGCTCTGTCGTTGGCCCAGACTGAACCGCCACTTATATATCCTGACTTCGGGGATCTCCATGTGACACTTCTCCCTCCCTGCATTTTCTCTCTGTATCTATACTGTCTCTATCTAATGTAGGCAAAATGTAAAAAAAAATAAATAAAAAAAATACTTTGCCCTATTGTAAAATGTTATTTATTTGCAGACTAACTCTGGCACACTGTCTAACTCGCATAAATAATTAAACATTTATGTAACTAGACCTCCATCAGGGGAACAGTTTTGTGACAAAGAGAGGCCCTCTAAGTAGGGAGTGGCTGAGTGTGCAATCAACCACATTCCCCACATACAGTGGGTGGGCATAAATACGAAACATCAATTTACTATGTGACAATCCATAATATTATACAGAGAGAGAGAGAGAGAGAGGGGGGGGGGGGGGGGGGGGGGGGGGGGGGGGGGGGGGGGGGAGAGGAGTCCAAAAGTCAAAACACACTGTTGTAAACATAAAAAAGTGGGTTTCTAAGACATGGAAAACAACAGCTCCAACTCTTTCAATTGAGAAGGATTTGTCATTCCACAGAGGGCTTTTCGGGAGAAAGCCTTGGATGTAAAAAATAGATTTGCACGGCAGGGATACCCTTCACAGTTTGACCAGGCATATGAGCTGGCTCTGATAGAGATGCCCTCGGACTTCAGCAGGATTTATACTAATGTGTCAAATTGACGCCATTCCCTAGAAATGTAACTACCCGTTGCAGTGACACAGACCTCCTGTCTATTTTTGTAAGCTGAAAACCATTTCCCTCAGAGGAAACAAAGCTTTTACTTACTTTTATTTCACAGATAAGAAACAATAAATTGTTAAGACAATAAAGCACCCACAAAATACCATTTAAAATCTTGAGTGTGATTTATCCTGGCTTCATATGGGTAGACTCACAAGTCAGTCTTTAGACGGTTTGCTTAACTAAAGACTGATGACTTTCTCCCTGATTTCGTGTTTAGATGGGCGGATACAATTTCAGAGTTTAAAAAAACTCCCTACGTTGCAGAACCAATAGTAAATCTGCAGGGCGGTCCTTTGGTGGCTCGCTGAACTCTTGTGCTTGTAAACATAGTCCGACTAGAAACACGTGTAGCGGTACAAAATGGCTCAGCCGTGCTCGCAGAAAACGCCGTCAAAGTTAGTGGATGTTTGTCGCGTTTGCGGCGACGCATTCTCGCCAACTAAAAGAAACAAACATAATCTTTTACAAGGCCATGACTCATCTGTCCGGCCGGACTCTAGAGAGAATCGCCTTGTTGTTTACAAATACTTCCGGGTAGAAAACCAGCAGAGCTTTTAGCTATATATATATAACGTTAGCCTATATATCACATTTTTCACATCACTATCACCGTTTGGACTAATTCGATGTTTGTAAAGTCTATAAACACAATGATTGAACAAACATTACTATTTCTGTGTGCACGTTTAGCTGGGCTAACCGTTAGCTGTTAGCCCTGTTAGCCGTTAGCAGTGTCTGTAACAGATAGTAACTCATTAAACGGTCCGTGAAAAAAATATCTTTTCCAGTGGATATCTTAGTTACAACATGATTGAGCTAGCAAAGCAGTTTTGTGTTGCTATGTGTGGTATTTATTCAGTTTTAGGAAATCACGATGTCTAGAAAGCATCAGTGGCTGCAGCTGACAGGGACAGCTAACAGCAGCAGCAAAGGTAACAGGACGTCATCTGTTAAAAGCCTCCCGTTGTCGGATACGACATGAAACTACTCCAGTTAGCTCAATCATGTTGTAACTGAGACATCCGCTGGAAAAAATATTTTCTTCACGGATGAGCACACGTTTGATAAAACGGAGTTAATTCTCTCTGCATCCATTTTCAAGCTCTCTGTGTGTTTGTTTCCTTGCGGACGAGAAAAGGAGGAGCGCACATTTCCGAGAAGGCGTGTCCTTTTCAAAAAAGCAAGAGGCGTTGCTTTGTTGACGGCCGTTTTCGCCGGTGTGTTAAACACACTTTAGAAAGGAGTGTCCCCAGACTATCAGAAGGCGGAGACTGTCTGGTGGCGAGACTATCATATGGGTAGAGGAAATCTTCGCTAGCTGCTAGGCTAATTTATGCAACGTAAAATGCCCCAGGCTTGTGCTAATAACGTTAGCATGTTGTATTTGTTTGGAAAATGTGTTTAGTATTATCAGCATTTTCAACTCCATAACGTGACCAATGAGTTTTAAACCACAGACAGACAATGAGCTGATTTTATGTGTTAAGTGTTTTGTAATGACTTTGTATGTTTGTTTTACTGTCTATTTGTCTGATTTCACAGTGTTGTCTTTTGTGTTTGGTGAGCTGAAGACAAATTCCGCCCACGGTGGACAAGAAAGATATATTCTATTCTGTTGTAGTATAATACAGTTGTTTTGTCGGTGAACCTTGTGAGCTGTAATGGAGCCGAACTGTTAAATGTTGGCTTCGTATGAGTAGAGGAAATCTTTGCAAGCCACTAGACTAAATTATACAATGTAAAATGCCATGGGCTTGTGCTAATATATTAAGCATGTTGTATTTGTGGGGAAAATGTGTCCAGCAATAGACAAGTGCTTTGTCTGTGAATCCAGTGAGTTATAATTAAGTGAATTTGTATACTTGTGTTTGAAAATGTCACTATGAAGCCATGTTTAATGTGTGTTTTGGGTGTGTTTTGAATCAACTAAACTTAACAGCACTTAACAGAAACACCACCAATATTCAAACCCTTACCTATGGTCATGAGCTTTGGGTAGTGACCGAAATAATGAGATTGCAGATAACTGTGTAGTAATGATGCTGTTTAATCAGCATCTTGAAATGCCACAGATGTCAGGTGGATGGATTATCTTGGAAAAGGAAAAGTGCTCACTATTTTAGCAAATATGTGACCAAATTTGGAGAGAAATATATCCCCTGAGTGCATTAAAAAAGTCTTAGATCTTCAGCATAAACCTGTGAAAAATGAGATAAAAAACAAACGTGTTGGGTTTAAATTTCTGTTCAGCGTAGATATATTGTCTCAAAATTATTGGTGTTGACTTTTTCTATATGCTGTTATGTTTGTCCACAAATCACAACTACATTGCACTCACGTTTTGTGGAATAAAGGATCTTTTCACAAGGACCTTAGTGTAAAGAATGCAGTCTTGATAAGGCAGAGGCTGATTTGATTATTTTTAAGTATACTTTGATGCAATTTTTGCCCATTGGCATTTTAAAGACCTTGTTGTATTTATTATGAAGGTTCCTATCTATGTATTGATATTGTTTTGTCACTTTCCATGCAAACACGTTTCTACAGGTTCATCTACGAATGCAACCTGTAAGATTTGGAAATGTATCTCTTTAAGCATTTATTAATAAGAGCCTACCTATTTAATGTAAATACTTTTGGGTATGTTTATGATTGTCACTATACAATGTGTTTTTACTTTTTGACTTCTCTCTCTATGTATAATATGGTGGATTGTCACATAGTAAATTGATGTTTCGTATTTATGCACACCCACTGTATGTGGGGAATGTGGTTGATTGCACACCCACAGCCACTCCCTACTTAGAGGGCCTCTCTTCGTCACAAAATTGTTTGCCTGATGAAGGTCTAGTTACATAAAGGTTGCAATTAATTTATTTTTTTGGAAGTTAGTCTATGTACAGAGTGTCTAAATTGTGTCCTACTCGTCCCTCTCATGGGCACCTGTTTGGAAATAGATGTGTGAAGTATTCTTTTGATAAAATGTAATTTATTGTCATTGAAGGTTGGAAACAGCATCTCGTCTTCCTACCTACCAGTCTGTCTTTGATGGAGTCAGAGTCTTCAGCCTGGCCTTGCTTGGCATGAAGCTGCAGCTGGAGAGCATGAAGCTGGAGGAGCTGGTCATGGACTTCCCTCTCTATCACTTTCCGCTCAGCTTTAGCCTCAGTCAGCTCAGAACGCAGGTCCACCAGCTGAGCCTGGAGCAGAGGGCAGGAAGAATGAAGGCAAAGAAGAGAGTGGTAGAGGGAGGGGGGGGGGGGGGGGGGGGGGGGGGGANGGGGGGGGGGGGGGGGGGGGGGGGGGGGGGGGGGGGGGGGGGGGGGGGGGGGGGGGGGGGGGGGGGGGGGGGGGGGGGGGGGGGGGGGCATCAGAGACAGATATGTCAGGTTTGAGTCAACACTGCGTTAGCTTCGGAGAATACAGAACAGTCCCAGCAGATCATCCCACTAGGACCTAGGAGTGTGCACTAATGGGGTGAGCAAAGTCAAATTTGACCATTAGATAAGCCATGATTCCAAGGAGTCAACCTCAAATGGGAGACTGAGCTAACATGACTGGACTGTCAGAACACCAAGTCACAAGGTGTCAGTGCTTACCACAAACCATTCAACACTTTATTATCACTGTCAGTACACTGAGAGGACAGCTATGTCCTCGGGGTCTGGAAGTGGGTCTACTAGTTTACAAATAGAGTTTCCATTATAAAGCTTCTCGACCAAAGAGAGCTGAAGTTGAAATGCTGCATTCCAGACAACTTGGAACTCTAAAATGTCTGATTTCCTATGAGTGAAAGTATGATGGAATGCCACTAAAGTCGGAGTTCTTCCTTGTAAACTCCATGAATGTATACAGAGAGCTGGATACAGCGCTGGAGGCAGGGCCCTATTCATTTCATTTCATGGGGATACAATTATCTAATCTTGCAGCTCTTCTAGACTTGCAAAATGTCATGCGATTGAATGGATCAAATTCTGATAGTGAAACGAGTTAATTTGTATATTTCTGTAACAGAGGTTTCCCGTACCGACTTTAAACTCACCCGAATTGATCATCTTGTCAATAGCACTGCAGGCTCGCTGCGAACAGAACTCGACTCTGTAGCACCTCTTAAAAAGAAGTTAACAAATCAAAGAAAGTTCGCTCCTTGGTACAACTCTCAAACCTGAAAATTAAAACAAATATCGCGAAAATTTGAAAGGAATTGGTGATTAACCAAACTGGAAGAATCTCGTTTAGTCTGGGAGCAAAGTCTCAAAACGTATGAGAGGGGCCTCCGCAATGCCAGAGCAAACTATTACTCAGCATTAATAGAAGAAAATAAGAACAACCCCAGGTTTCTTTTCAACTTCTTTCCAGGCTGACTGAGAGTCACAGCTCTATTGAGCCTTGTATTCCTTTAGCCCTTAGTAACGGTTTTTTAATGACAAAATTCTAACTATCAGAGGCAAAATTCATGACCTCCTGCCCTCAAACGGAACCAATCTTGCCTCAAACACAGCTGTAAGACGTAATATCTAGATAGCTTCTCCTCGATTTCTCTTCAACAACTGACCGCAATGATTTCTTCATCTAAATAATCAACGTGTCTCTTAGACCCCATCCCAACTAGGCTACTTAAGGAGGTCTTTCCTTTAGTTAACACTCACATATTAGATATGATCAATATATCCTTATTGACAGGCTATGTACCACAGTCTTTTAAGGCAGCTGTAATTAAACCTCTTCTAAAAAAAAAACCCACCTTGGATCCAGAGGTGAGACCAACTATAGACCAATATCTAATCTTCCCTTTCTTTCAAAGATCCTTGAGAAAGTAGTCGCAGACCAGCTGTGTGATTTTCTCCATGATAATAATTTTATTTGTGAAATTTCAGTCAGGATTTAGAGTGCATCATAGCACTGAGACAGCACTAGTTAAAATTACAAATGACCTTCTGATTGCTTCAGACAAAGGACTTGTCTCTGTACTTGTTTTATTAGATCTTAGTGCAGCATTTGACACAGTTGACCATCAAATTCTGCTCCAGAGACTGGAACATTTAATTGGCCTAAAAGGTTCTGCACTAAGCTGGTTTAAATCTTATTTATCTGATCGTTATCAGGTCGTTCATGTTAATGATGAATCATCTCTACGTACTAAAATTTGTTTTGGAGTTCCACAAGGTTCTGTGCTCGGACCAATCCTATTCTGTCTATATGGGTCAATGACATGATGCTACTTTTTTTGTGTTCATATGGTTTAGTCAAATTTAAAAGGGTTAAAATTTGAAAATAAATGTATAATTAACTTACAAATTTTAATTTTGTGTGGATCCAGTATAAAATTTCTGCTTTTAATACATTTTGAGAGAATATATTAGAGGATAATGGCAAAAATGTGTAAGTGGTGTAACCATAAAAACTTGCACCAAATTATTAAACTTGCTTAAAAACACTAAAATTCTTAATGAAACACCATATCAACTAGTTTGGCATGATCTTTAAATTATTACTTTTTTTATTACACGGCTCTATTAAAAGCTGTATTCTGATTGGTCGGTCGCGGCATTTAGCAGTCTGATATTACTGTGTAATGACCGTTGCTAGTAGCAACGGTCATTACACAGTTGCTATGTAGCCCAGCGTTGCTAGGGATGCTGCCCTGCAACACTGCAGCTGTCAAACAACTTCCAAAGGAAAAAACAAACAGAAGTGGCTGATTTTAACATTTCTTTTAACTTATTTGGAGAGTAGCTACAAGGATTTTGAGGAATGGGATGCCGCTGAAGAATAAGAAATGGAGAAGGAAAGAAAAAAAATCAAGCGAAAAACGGCACAAGGAACTGACACCTGAAGAGCCTCAAGTCATAGAGGAGGACAAAGATGAGATAAATACAAAAAAGACAACAAAATGGGCTACTGTACTGTACTACTACTAGACTACTATTCTGACGGACTTTCTCTGCCAAAAAAAAAGAACACGGATTTGAATACACACTCGGCAGTCACGCTTAATGACGCAAGTTTTATGCCTCGGTTCAGTCCACTAAGCCTGGGTGAGTACAAAACTTTCACCAAAAGTTGTCGAATCCGGTCGGTTTTAATGCACTTCGCGGAGGCAGACAAAATTATTTATTTAACTGATAATTAGCCGTGTAATAAGCGGGATAATGTATAATAAGCCGGTGCGGAGGGGTTATATTCCCCTGTCAGGAGTTATTTTCCCAGTATTCACCAGCTTATTATATATTATCCCTTACATATTCAATAAAGGTAATGGAATACAATTGTTCTAAACATGAAATTTAATTTGGGGAATCATGAAAGTCAAGTAAACTACATGAAGTGTCAAGTGGTGTAACCACCATTTAAGAGGCCATTTTATATTGTAAAGAAGGCAATGTGACAGGAAATGGTATTACAGAGAAGGACCTCTGATGATCACAACTGCTGCATGACAAGGTTAGAATCTCTTAAAATTACTAATAAATTGACGTTTTTAGACTCTGGTCAGGTTTGGTAAGTTTACATGTCAAATGGTATGACCCTAGAAAAACATTAATAATTCATAAAAATCATTAAAATGAATATTTACTTTAAAAATTATGTTTGAAATATTGAGACTAAGGCCATGTGCTTACACAGGTGTCCATGGTAATGCCTGTAAAATTTGATTTTAAAATGAAATGTGAAATGGTGTAACCGGTTACACCATTTGACTCCTATTAAGAGCCTTTCTGTTATAGGCAATTATGTCAAATATCAAAAGTTTATGATAGTAATTTGTTAGATATCAGTAGTTTATGATGCTAATTAAAGATGTATTATAAAAAAAAATCCTTTTGATCTTGTACAGTAGCTTTAAAATACCTAAAAATCCAATAATTCATTTAAAGTAGAAATGTTACTCAAACATTAAAATTTCTGTCTGTAAAATACAATTGTTTTATTTATTATTTCTGCTATTTCATTACTAATGTATGATACATTTATAGAAAACTAAAGTAATCAAACTAAATAAATAAAATAAATTTTCCCTATTAGATGCCAGTTTCTAGGAGGGCCACCTGACAACCCCTAAGGGTTTTCTTTTGGCTCCTCCTGCACACTTTTTTTTTTTTCCTCTTTTAAGTCATCGTTTTTTATATGTGTCAATACTGTATGTATTCTGTTTCTTCTTATTGACATCCTATACTCTTTTTCTTGTGTGCAAATAAAAAAAAAAAAAAAGAAAAAAGTGGCTCATCATAGAGTGCTAATGCAAATAAATGCTAATGAATGCTAATGCTGCAGCAAGGGCCAATTACGTCCTTACAAGTTGTTGTTGTCGGGTGACTTTTTCCCTTATCAGAATTTAAAACACAAAACATGAAAGATGAGTTAAATTTTAAAATTAAATGACTGTTGTTAGCAAAGAATTTACAGTAGAAGAAATTAGTTAATTGTTGTCAGCTGTTCCTTTTTCTGAACTTCCTCTCTCATTAAATTTTTATCAACCGTATTCACAATAGTAGACCAGTTCACCCTTATGAGTTGTTGTCAGGTGACTTTTTTCTTATCAGAACTTAAGATACAAAACAGTTGAATTTTAAAATGAAACATGATTGTAAAATGTTTTTTTCAGCAAAGAATTGACAGTAGAAGAAATTAGCTGACTGCTGTCAGATGTTCTTTTTTTCTGAACTGAAATAACATGAAAAAAACAAGTTCACTTAACCTTGTTGACTGTCATATTTGATTTTCTGTGTCAATTCCTTCACCAAACAGTGGTGTTTGACTGTAGAAGGAACGTGGTCAGGCAGTGTATCATATTTTTATGAAAAATACCAGTTACACCAATTGACACAACCCAGTTTCATTTGGTGTAACTGGTATTTTTCATAAAAATATGATTATATACAGGAAAATAAATGTGGAGTAAAATGTGGAATACATGTAATCCACTTTTGCAGTGCAACACTGTGTTTTTTAACAAATTTTGCATAATTTGTCATGTGTTATTTAGAAAAAAGTTTTTAGGAAATATCCTGCTCAGTACTGCCAAAATGCACTGAAATTTAAATATAGAAATATTCCAAAAATATCTTATTTCAATTTAATGCTTTTGAAATAAAGATTTTTTATAAGTACACTTAAATCTACTGTAGGTGGATAAAATATTTAATATTTATCATTCTTTCGTGGTTACACCATTTGACATTTTCAGGAGCATTCAGTC